TGGGCTGGATAGCTCCCTCAGAGGGGAAGAAGCCCATCCTGGCTTCAGGAGTCAAAAATACAATGTTGTAAGGCAAGTAGTTTGAAGTCTTTGATCCTGACCACATGGAGAGGAAAGCGCCCAGTGGTGATTTTATATAATTGTTTTTCTAACTTCTTTCAATGGCTGTACTTTATTAAATATTTACTTTACTTATTTCAGGAATTGTATCCTGGAGCATTTTCCACATGTGACCCCTGTGATGGTGAGGGAAAAACTAAGGGACACTTTAAAAATCATGGAGAGTGAACAGGAATTCAAAAGATAGATATTTGAATACATTAAAATATAGTCGGATACCAAAAAATTATAACTGAACATTGATTGTAATATTTACCATTAAAGACTATAACTAACTTAACTTTCATTTGTATTTACTTCACACTGACATTAAATGTTTCAGTGAGTCATGTGATCATTTTTTGCTCTGTATTATTATAAAGAAGTTTCTTAATTCCTTAAAAGGACAATATAATTGCTCTTTTCAGAATATTTCATTGGATGTTATATTTTCTTATTTTCCATGGATATTCTAGAAATTTCCAAGGTTTTTGCTCAAATAAACCTTGGAAAATTCTCTGATGCCCTTAAGTAAGAATCCTCGAAAATATAACAGTTATAATTCCCAGTTGTGAGAAACTTTCCGAGGTTTTCTTTTAAAAACCTTGGAAAACAAACCACGGAAACACTTTAAAAATCCTTGGAAATCGTTCCAATACTCCGAGGTCACTCATTTTCCAAGGTTTTCTAAAAAAAATCCTCGGAAATTATTTTACGAGGTTTTTATTCTGAAATCCTTGGAAATTGTTCCAATACTCCGAGGTCATACTTTTTACGAGGTTTTTTTTAATAGCAAAGTTTTGCATTTTCTTGTTCCAATACTCCGAGGTTTTTTTCCAAGGATTTTGAGCCAAAAACCTTGGAAAATCTACACCCGGGATAAACCACATTTCATGTCTCCTAACGAGATAGTTGATCGAAATACTGCTCTCATCACAGGATCTTTATATTTAATAATTGGAGTAGCTTAAATTTGTGTATAAATACAAAAAAACAAAATCTTGTAAAAGAAAGAAAGTGACAATAATTCCATATACATTAGGTAAAAAGTCATGACTCATAAAGAAGTATAACTACCATAAATTTCCTAACATACGTTAACTTATTTATTTCCCTTTATTATAATCTTCGAAAAAAGGTAGTTTTTCAAAGCTCCCAATTACATAAAACATAAGAAGATTCAAATATATTAAAATCAGCCGGAACTGAAAGTCTCTACCCACTCTATTGTGGACCTGAACTCAACCAGAGCATGACCTGGGGCCTAGAAGCTCCAAAACGGTCTTCCTGCGAAAACGCGCGCCCCAGGCCATGCCAGTAGCAGGAGTTAAGCTGCGTTACCCATGACTTCATGATGAGCCAACATACAGGTGGCACAGGCCATAGTTCCAGCAATCTTAATATCTATATAATTCTGTATCATATCAATATTATATCATATCTTATCAGCATTAGAAGTGTAAAATATGTATGCATAATATACTAGTTGCCTGAAGCTTTTTTATGATGTGTCACCAAAAATATATTTATTACATTATTTTTAAAATAAGGCCAACAAAACACTCTATATGTATATGGCACTTCTCCGACTTTGGATGGTAATATAGTTTGTTTTTTTTTTGTTAAGATTGATCTATTAACAGTTAATTTCCTTGTGTTTTAATATAAGGTGAAAGTATGTTCAGATACTTACATATATCAATTAGGAACTGTAATGTCGACAAGAGTTTGATAGGGAGACCACCTACTATTGAATTTATCCCAGTTACAAGAAGAATATTGGATATACTTTTCTACATTATAATGGAAAAGTTTGTATGTTAAAATTTTGGTTATTATACCTACACATGTAAATATATCTTTTTGCAATAAGAACAAGGAACATCGCAATGCGATGCAACCAGGTTTTCAGCAAAATATTTCACAGAAGCTTTGTCATGAAGGGGCATTTGTTTTTAATTGAACTTTTAGGAGGAATTATGGCTTTTTTAATATTCCTCAAACAAAAATGATTGAGAAATTTTATGTTGTCTATTCGCCTTTTTTTCCCAAATGTTTTAGAAAGGTAAACAGTACTTTATTTTTGCTTAATTTTTACATTTTTGCGTCTCTTGTCATTTTCTTTTGTCAACAATATTGGCGTGTGGTGTTTTGTGCGATATCAAGAAAAGTATGTTCACAATTTTAAAAAAATACTTGAATGATGTCTTGGAAGAAACATGGGAATTTAGTGAGCGCCAGGGCACTTGATGACAAAGCTTCTGTGAAAGTTTGGTCAAAATCCATTGAGAAATGTAGGAGAAGTTGCGCACTGTAGAAATTGTTCACTATATATTCTGTATAAGGAAAAAATATACAAAGGGCCATAATTCGGTCAAATATTATCCAATCACAAAACCCCGACAATATGTGCCAGGCACTTGAAAACAAAGCTTCTAAGAAAGTTTGGTCAAAATCCGTTGAGAAATGTAGGAGGAGTTGCGCACAGAAGAAATTGTTCTCTATATATTCTGTATAAGGAAAAACTATACAAAGGGCCATAATTCGGTCAAATATTATCCAATCACAAAACCCCGACAATATGTGCCAGGCACTTGATAACAAAGCTTCTAAGAAAGTTTGGTCAAAATCCGTTGAGAAATGTAGGAGGAGTTGCGCACAGAAGAAATTGTTCACTATATATTCTATATAAGGAAAAAAAACAAAGGGCCATAATTAGGTCAAATATATACCAATCGCAAAACCCTGGCAATATGTGTCAGGGCACTTGATGACAAAGCTTCTGAGAAAGTTTGGTCAAATCCGTTGAGAAATGTAGGAGGAGTTGCGCACAGAAGAAATTGTTCACTATATATTTTATATAAGGAAAAAAAACAAAGGGCCATAATTAGGTCAAATATTATCCAATCGCAAAACCCCGACAATATGCGCCAGGGCACTTGATGACAAAGCTTCTGTGAAAGTTTGGTCAAAATCCGTTGAGAAATGTAGGAGGACTTGCGCACCGAAGAAATTGTTCACTATATATTCTATATAAGGAAAAAAAACAAAGGGCCATAATTAGGTCAAATATATACCAATCGCAAAACCCTGGCAATATGTGTCAGGGCACTTGATGACAAAGCTTCTGAGAAAGTTTGGTCAAAATCCGTTGAGAAATGTAGGAGGAGTTGCGCACAGAAGAAATTGTTCACTATATATTTTATATAAGGAAAAAAAACAAAGGGCCATAATTAGGTCAAATATTATCTAATCGCAAAACCCCGACAATATGCGCCAGGGCACTTGATGACAAAGCTTCTGTGAAAGTTTGGACAAAATCCGTTGAGAAATGTAGGAGGAGTTGCGCACAGAAGAAATTGTTTACGCCCGCCCGTCAGCCCATCCGCCCGCCCGCCCGCCGACATACCTCAATCTAATAACCAGTTTTTTCCTTCGGAAAACCTGGTTAAAAATAAATTTAATGTTTCATCCGTTTTCTTAGGATCAGTTATCCCAAAAAGAATTTCTTCTTTTGAGAGTTCATAATCTGTAATATTCGGGCATTTAGTTTTAATGAAAATTTTTGAAGTCCGCCAAAAATGACTAACATACCGACATTCATAAAACAAGTGTAAAAGTGTTTCGTTACTTTCCCTGCAAAAAGTGCATGTATTGTCATCTTTTATTCCAATCTTAGTTAAAAAAGTATTTGTTGCTTAGATTCTATTGGAAGTATCTTAAGCTTGTATCTGATGTTATTTTGTAAACAATAGTATAGACTTTATTCCATTCAAAAGTTTCTGATAATAATAGTTCATGTTTCCATTTATCTTGAGATTTCGGAACTTTTTTATTTTTTACAAGTTTTTCATAAATAGAATGGCATCCCTTTATATTTTGTGTGATAACTTGAATTTGCTTATAAGTGTTAAAAGTTTCATTATTGATTTCAAGTTTAACTCTTAGATTTATTAGCGCTCTAAAAGTCCTTCATATTGTATGAAATTTATATTAATTTGTAAAATATTTTGTATAGATTGTAAACTATAGAATTGACCATTATTGTCAATTAAATCAGCGACAAAACTAATACCATTTTGAAATAGGTTATTGTTAAAAATAGTTGTGCCTCCGACCTTCCCTGTTGGATTGAACCCAATTGGTTGCCTGAGATATTCATTCCAATTTATTATTTGTACTTTCGAATAAAACATTATCCATGATGTAAAGACTTCGTTCCAGAAGGGGTTGTCGATTCTTGATAATTGATTTTTAATTAAGTCTGGCCCGAATTTGGAAAAATTACACATATCAGGAAAAGAAATTTCAAAGATATTTTTCCATTTTTTGTTTCCATGTAAAATACGTCTAATCCAACCTAGTTTTAAAGAATGAATAAAAGATTTTAGTTCTATTGCAGTCTGTGCAGTTTTTGCTATTCTGTAAATGTGATATATATATATACAGCTGTGCATATATTTTGACATGACTTCATTTCATTAAAACACGCTAAATGTTAGCATGATTCTATAGGCGTGTCGATGAAAAATAGTTCTTTTTCACTTCGAACAGTCTTTATTTTTGGTATGTGATAGATAAAATATTAAATTTGTGTAAGTTCATTACTGAATTTATTGTACTTGTTGAATAAAGTAATATTATGCTTGCCAGAATATATTTTAATTCAATTGGTTCAATAAATTCAGTAATAAACTTACACTCATCCAATATCATCTATCTATTTTTTACTCTAAAGCAATACATATGTGTAGCAAATTTTGCCAGAAAATTCACACATATCTAACAAAATCTTTTACAAAACCTACTGAGCTGTGATCAAGGTTTGCATTAAAACAGTCTTTACACAACATACACATTCAGACAATGTCAAAAATGTCAAATGAATGTCACATTCTCACTCCTTCTACAGATAGCACCCATGCTATGTTACACATTTCTGATGTCCGTATACATTTTAGTGCCAATCCGATTGCAAATTGAGCACAAATGTGAAGTTCTGCTGGATCAACAGATTTTCTATGTGCTATTTCAACTTCAATCTCATAAGAAATACCATACTTCTTTGCATAGTTTGCTTGTTTAGATTCCACTTGGCATTTTCTTTATCATATAATCATATATTTTCAATGCTTTTCAAAGAACTATGATGATGTGTCTAAATGCTATTCTAGTTCTTCCATTTTCAACAGCCATGGTACCTTTCTGACACACACTATGATACACAATATGTTCCTTTGTCATTACTACATGTATTACATTTACCTCAGTCCATAAAAATTACCCCTACAGTGTTACATATTCAAAGACTGTTGTAAAGTGATTTGTTTATTTGGCTGTACTTATTCTGTTGTCATCTGTTGAGTTTGTTATCCGATACACTGTCAACCCCTTATCTTTATCTGTTTTCATGTTTAAAAATAAGTTGCCTTGATCAATATCTGGTCAGATCAGCTTTGAAAATAAACTTCCTAGTCTTTATTGGTATCATATAAGCAATGCCATGAAGTTGTATTACATTCCATTGCTCTGTTTTTGAAATTGACATCATTATTACAAAAAAAAAAGTTAGCAACCTCCAATGCATCTTACAGTCATTAACAAGTTGTTTATTTGCTTATAATGTCATGATATTCACCAAATATTATGCAATGGTATCCTATGATATCATGTTGATAAAGAGAAAAGAAAGACTTAAGCAACCTTTTATTTGAGAAGCTATTGTAACGAAATCAAAATGGTCAGTGAACTGTTGATTATATGACTATGTGATGGGCGTTGTGCAAATATTACTGTTGTCATGTTTTTAAATCTAACAATATGTAGCAAATATATAATTAAACAAAATATAAACAACATGATAATGATATGACTGCTTATAATTATTTTATATCCCACATATAGGAACAAATTTAGTACAGACCAATGATACAATGCTGCATGCCTCTGGAGGAAAAAACTTTTGTAAGTTTTTACTATATACATATACAACTACGGAATAACAGCAGGACAAAGGGACAGACAACAGAAAATGTTTATTTCCCATTCCTAAGCGGAGCCATAAAATCTTCAAAGACACTTCAAAGTCAGTTCTAAAATCATATTAACTTTTCCAAAGTAATGAGTTGTAATGGAAGAAACCTGTACCAGTTGACTCTACTTAACATTCTGAAATGTTCTTTGAGCATTTGATCTTTACTTCAATGTTTAATTTGATTTGGTCTTTTATTTCTATATTTTTTTTCTAAACAAATCATACTGAGACAATCCCATTAGTTTATTGGAATTGGCTCAAGCTAAAAATCTCTAATGAAACATGAAGTAGAAATGTTTTTTTAAACTCTTTATATTTCTTTTTTTACTTTTTACTTCTTATAATTTACTACAAATTCACATACAAAAGTTTTAAGTGTTTATAAAATGGTTGCTGTATGTAGTTAATACCTTGTTAGATTTACCTTCCTTGGTAAGAGGAAGGGTTTTACTGCGTACTTCAAAACTGCTCATTCCATTCCACTCAAACCTGTCACTGGCTGTTGGTGATTTAGTTTTATGTTTGAACAGTTGCCATGTATTCCTCCTGACATACAAATGTTAGAATTAATATATCATGTTTAAAACTACTCAAATTACTTCATAACAGTACTTATCTTTACATCCAAGAAATTATTATGATGCTATAATTTACAAAAATGTTGCATTTTTTCTTTACCAGTGAAAAATTCAATAATATCATTTTGATATTTGGTTTTGAAATATCTTGACAAAAATGTTTTGCATGATGAGAATGTGTGTTATACACAAAAACCCTAGGTATAGTTCTAACTGGTCAAGTTTATACCTAATATGATTAAACTCCTAATATTGGTCTTAAACATACCATAACTATTTCATTTGATAAAGGACATTATTGACACAAATTTTATGCAAGATGAGATATTTTACACCATACTGGATTCTGACCTTAATCTATGGCAAATTTAACAGACTGGAAAAGATCAGCAGGTCATAAGCACTAACACAGGTCTGTAATTATGACATTTTAATCAAACTAACCTCAAAGAGGTACAAAAAAATTGAATGTAACAAGAGGGCCATGATGGCCCTGAAATCGCTCACCTGTATATAGGCCCCCAGGGCGGGGCCAATTTTAACCCAATGGCTTTTATTTGAACAAACTTGGTAGACACCCCTTAGAAGATGTTTCATGATGAATATCTAAGCTTGAGCCTCTTTGGGATTTTTAAAAGAAGATTTTTTTAATTTTTGGGAAAAACAATGATCCCCTGGGGCGGGGCCAATTTTGACCTCAGGGCTTTTATTTGAACAAAGTTGGTAGACACCCTTTAAAAAATGTTTCATGCTTAATATCTTAGCTCTAGCTCTTTGGGGTTTTTAAAAGAAGATTTTTAAGTTTTTACTATATAATAAAAGGAAAAACAATGATCCCCTGGGGCGGGGCCAATTTTGACCTCAGCGCTTTTATTTGAACAAAGTTGGTAGACACCCTTTAGAAAATGTTTCATGCTTAATATCTAAGCTCTAGCTTTTTGGGTTTTATAAAAGAAGATTTTTGAAGTTTTTACTATATACAAATAAGGAAAATCAATGACCCGCCGGGCGGGGCCAATTTTGACCCCAGAGCTTTTATTTGAACAAACTTGGTAGACACTGACTAGACAATGTTTCATGGCAAATATTTAAGCTCTAGCTCTTTCAGTTTTTTAAAAGAAGACTTTTTTAAGTTTTTTTCTTTCGGTTGCCATGGCAACCAGAGTTCTTCATGGAATAAAATTCTTTGAACAATTTTCAAAGTTGACTGCCAAAGGAACATTCCTGTGAAGTTTGGATGAAACTGGCTCAGCGATTTATGAGTAGATGTCGTTTAAAGAAAATGTTAACGGATGGACGCCGGACAGATGGATGCTGGACAAAAAGCGATAACAAAAGCCATGTCACCACCATATCACTTTGTGACAGGTGAGTTAAAAATAAATCGCACCTTCAGTATCAATTTTATGTTTAGACAAAATTTTCTGTGACCAAATCAAATACAACTAAATGGAAATGCACTCTAAAATACTTTAAAGCAGTAAATATTAAATTTATCTGTACTCACTTAAAAGTTGGATCACCATCTTTAGCTCCAACAACATACATAGGAACAACACCTTCTGCAGCAGGAGATATGAGGTTAGCTGGTCGGTGTATTAGAAACATGTTGTACTGGTTTGTGCCTATCACATGTACTGTTTCACCTTTCTGCACAGAGATTTCATCCTCACGAACAGCATTATAGGTAAACAAAACACGTCCAACAGCTATTGTACCAGACTCTATCAGCTGTAGACAAAAAATATGATAAAATAGACAAAATTGCAATTCTACAAGATCCCCTAAAAATATTGCAAACTTAATTGAGCCTGTTCATGGATGGTAGTGCTTAGAAGGCATGCCTCCTCTATTTCTGTCTCAAGCATTTAAACATGAAATAGTGAAATTTTTATTTTAGAAACATCCACAGATGTGTTCATACTGCACTTATCATGTTACTTATGTGATATATTCCAATATGATCCCCATCAAAAGAATTATAGTGTATCTAAACGTTAAAACAATGGGCAAAATCTAACATAAAACAGTATGAAATTATGTAAATAGTAGTTCAATATCCTCATTTATATGTTACTATCCTGACATCACTCATCTTAAAATCAATATATCATCTGCAACATTTTATAAAATTATATATTCAGTTTTAAATCACACAGGAACTTTAACAGTAATATGGTAACTGCTTGAAGACTGCAGTTGTTTATATCTACCATCAATCTTCAGCTTCCTCATTACCTACCCATGTGTGCAAGATTTTTATATTTGACTCAGAATACAATTAACATTTTTGTTCTTTAATTATGTACATGGGCGATAAATGTTACTAAGGGATTACCGCATTATATATTGACGGTAACTAGCATCAAATCATTACCCCATTATATATTGACGGTAACTAGCATCAAATCAATCTTTAAAAGAACACATATGTTTGTTTTACAGACATGCAGTAAGTTTGTTAAAAACTTTCAAGATGCTTCAAAATGCCCTAAGAAAGTTATCATGCAAAAAGTTTCTTACTTTCTTCATCCATACTAAATGAAAATGTATTTTGTTTTCATATATTACTTCTATAGAGATATAACGTAAAAGCTATGAAATGTCTTTTACATTTTATCAGTGTCACGTCTCTAAGAAAATATTCATGTACAGATTAGTTTCATGTAAGACATGCAGTAAAAATACTTTAAGACATGCTTCTTTCATTCTTCAGACCAATTTTTGGCATTATTTCAAAGTAGTTAAGTAGTCAAACCTAAATTTCTTTTGTAATTTCTTATATAGAGAGGGAAGTCTTAGGATTTTAAACCTTGATCAATGAGTGGTACTGACTTATTGAATATTTCCCCCAAGTATAAAGTATTAACATTTCCCCCCAAGTATAAAGTATTAACATTCCCCCAAGTATAAAGTATTAACATTTCCCCAAGTATAAAGTATTAACAAAGTTTTATGACTGATGAACTTAAAAATGAGAATTTACAAGGAAATCTGTAATCACCAAAAAATATATGATAGCAAATTTATCACCTTTCAGCAATATTATACATATTAAACCTCCATCAAGTAAAGCAATGTATGTTATTAAACAGAATTTAACATACAATCTAAGCTAGTTACTAGGAATAAAGCCAGTATATGTGTAGTTACATAAATACATGTATAGTCCAAATACATTTTGTTTTTTATTAAATTCCTATAAAAGTTATGATGATCAATCAAAAGGGCACTCACCTGATCAATTTATACATGTTGTACAGTGATGTCCATCATAAGTATATTGTGTCCTGTTGTATCATGTTACATCATAGCTTGTTGAATCATAGGCAAAATATTCCAAATGGCATAATCCGAAAAGTTGATCATTCTTACCTCATATGGGAAGAAACTTGGTTCAAAGGTTCTTATGCTGAGATACAGTGTCAGTTGTTTTAAGGTAATAAAGCTTTTCATTATTACTGGTATTAGTGTCGGAACACTAGCATTTAAATTGTACTATTGTTATAACATCTGTGTCAAAACGTAACTTTTTTCTTGTGTTATACTACCAAATGAAATTATGTTTAAGTTGTAATAATCTAGCAGCTAATCATAGTTAGCACAAGCCTTTAGCATTTGAGTGAAAACCTTCCAACACTATTTTTTAGTCAAATTGCACAACACAAATAATTATTCTGAAAAAAAAAATGTGGCAAGGAAATGATCACAAGTTATTGGCTCATGGTACATAATCATCATAAAAAATATTTCCTGTCCCGTCTTGTCCCTTTAAAATATTTAGGGCACATTCAGTTAAAATGTTAGTAAATAAATAATTGGGGTTTGTATATAATGTATGTCTGAATTATACTAACAAAGTAATATTTTATCACAAATAATCATACATATAAAATAATTTCTTATTAGCCAATTATCATACACTTAATATAACTTCATCAAGCCATATAAGACACCTAAGGAACAACTTTTAATTTGCCAAATAATTCACACCTAAAGTAACTTCTTGTAAGCCAAATAACTAACACCTAAAGTAGCTTCTTACTAGCCAAGTAACTCACATTTTAAGTTGCTTCTTATTAGCCAAATAACTCACACCTAAAGTAACTTCTTATTAGCCAAATAATTCACACCTAAAGTTACTTTTTATTAGCCAAATAATTCACAACTAAAGTTACTTCCTATTAGCAAAATAACTCACACCTAAAGTAATTTCTAATTAACCAAGTAACTCACACCTTAAGTTACTTCTTTTTAGTAAAATAACTCATGCCTAAAGTAACTTCTTATTAGCCAAATAATTCACACCTAATGTAACTTCTTACTAGCCAAATAACTCACACCTTAAGTTACTTCCTAAAATCAAAGCACAGAAGGCGCTGAATTTGTTTGGGTCTCAGAATTTCAGAAAGGTGAAGGTTGTGAGATTATAAACCAATTTGTTTGTAGTGTCACCAATGCTGTTTCCAGTGTTATAACTATAGTAAATTGGCTATAAGACTAATTGCAACACTGCACTGATATTCAATTCATGTTTCTTTGGCTTGAAAAAAAACCCAAAAAAACTGAACTGGGATTTGAACTCCAGACCTCTCGCTTCCAAAGTGAGCGTGTAAACCCCTCGACCAAGGGAGTTTTACCTTTAGAAAATTTTTATTAGCCAAAAATTCACACCTAAAATAACTTCTGATCAGCAAAATAGCACACCTAAAGTTACTTTTCATCTCCCAGTAGATTCTAACCATCCAATAACATCTTTAAGCAACTTTTCATCACCCAAATAATACACATGTAAAGACACATTTTATCACCTAAATAACTAGCAATACCATTTGCTAAGGCCAAAAATAATCTCTGTACCACAACTTCCAGTCTTTCTTTCATAAATTAATAGACAACACTTCCTTTCCAATGTTTGACATATAATGACTGGAGATGATAAAGGAAATTGAGAAATAAGTAAGATTAGAATTCAACAAATTTTATTTTGTTCATTTAAGTTGCTATGACAACAATGATATTACAATAACAAAGATTTATAAAGAAGTAGGATTTAACAAAATAACTTATATAAGATTGATCATACAATGTGTTGATATATGTCTACTAGCTACAAGTTAACACAGAAACTTTAAAAACACTTCGGATAGAAAATGTAACCTTTCTTGTAAGCCCGAATGCTTTTTCAAGTTATTTTCTATTACATGACAGCTAAATCTTAACTTGGTGAATACATTATAAATAAATAGAGGATATTGAATAAGTGTGGGTTCAATATTAAATTTATTGAACAAATTGAATAAAATCATATTATGCAAGCCTCTGGAGAACATAATATTGTTTTATACAACCAGTTCAATAAATCAAGTATTGAATCTTCACGAATAAAATATTCTATTTATCACATACCCAAAATTATAACTGTCTACAGTGAGAAAAAATCACTTTTTCATGGACGCGCTTATAGTGGGACTCTAACATTCAGTGCATCTTTACACTATGTTTGTATGATGCAATGATGTCACAGCCGTGCAATACAGTTTTTATGGAGTCGCAAAATGGCACGGGTGTGTGATAAAATATTATTAAACACATCATTTGAAATTTACATTGTAATAATTTAAGTCACAGAGTTTAATTGTTATTTATATTTGTTCTTTTGTTAACATATTGACCACAAAAGATATATAAGGTGTTTATCCCACAGCTTATATACATGTCACTTTACCACTCAACTTACAAGAAATAATACATTACTTTCCAGTTTAAAGTATAAATGTTACCAATATATAATGATACAGATGTTAACTATCACACAGTTTAATACAGCTTCATTTCACATATTATACTGAATTATATCATGCTTGTATTACAAACCTATAGAAAAAAATCTGTGTTTGTTTTATTACATTTCATATATATAGTCTCACTGCAGGTTAATTTGCTTGAGAACAATAATAATTATGCTGTTGGGAAATGAATCATCATAAATGTAGTGAGAACCAATGAATTTATTCTTTATTAAAAGTATGCTGGTAGTTGGTAACAATCTCATATAAGTGTGTTGTTTATCATGATAGGTATTAACTGTTGATATATTACATATATTTCAATATGTTTTTACGGTATACAGATATGAAACAAGTATAAAAAAAAATTGTATTTGAAAAGGAATGGAAAAGGACATTTTTTAATCATATTGAACAGTTTTTCTCATCTTAAAGTTGTGTTTTAAATATGTATATCAAGCAATGGAATGGCAATTAACTTTGGAAAGGTGTTAAAAGTAACTTTTTATTAATACGTTTTATTTAAAAGATATTTAGGGTTTTATTTTAATGTTCAACAAAAGTGTTACTTATTACAACAATATGAATTACATATTAAAGTTTCATTAAATCAAGAAATAAGTTATTTTGGTTTCTTTCCCTAATGTAAAACAGACATTAATAATGAAGGTTACTGGTACTATTTATGTAAGGTCAGACATCATCAAAGTAACGATTGAAGCAGATAAACTAATACACTTATTTACCTTAATTAACATTGACACATCTACATACTAAATGCCATATCAAGTTTTTCATATAACTGTTGAATAATGATTAAAATGATCCACAGTTTACACACTCATATATGTCAATAATGCATTAAAATGATACAAACACACATGTTAATGTTATACAAGTTTATACATAAAATGATACAGCTGACATGATTAAGATTCCTACATAAAATCTCCATATACAACACAATCATACATTCATTCCCATGCTTTATAAATGAACACATTTTTTTGTGGGAAGGGGGGCACTCTCAACTAAGAAACTTTATTAAATTTAAGATAACATTTTACAAAGACAGAGTTGTGTGTTCAATTAAATGTAATGTAATAATAACAACAGCTGCCAAATTATTTCAGTAGTGCTTAAAAGCTGAATAACAAGAGCTGTCCGTAAGACAGCGCGCTCGACTTTTTTATTGCTTGCCAATAAAAAAAGTTTTTGCAGTAAAAGGCAATACAAGAATCTCTGTATTTTTAAAGTGAACAATGGCCATGAGCATTAAGATATTTAGTGAAGAATTATTTTACTGAATTGTGTGATACCCTTGAACACTGCAGGTTCAGTGGATAGGAATGAATTTTTTTAGATTTTTTAAGTTTTTTAGTGCTTGCCTATAATACAAAACATTGACAGTTAAGGGCCATAATTCAAATAAAATCTTTGACAGAATTACCTTCTCCTGGACATGTTTGGGAATCATGATTGTAAACAAGTATTCCAACTTTCAAATTAATATCTCAAACAGTTCAGTCAAAAAGTGGACTGGTACTAAAAACTTAACCAAGATTCTAAGTCGATAAAAGGCCTTAATTTTTAAAACAAATCCTTGACAGAGTTACCTTCTCTTGCGTACAGATGGGGGTAATGATGTGAAATAGCATTAAAAGTTTCAAAGCAATATCTCAAAGGGTTAAGGCAATAAGTGGATTTTACCCATATTCAATGTATTTTCTAAGTCAAAAAGGGGCATAATTCTGTCAAAAACCTTGACAGAGTTATGTCCTCTTGTCTGTTGATGAAGGTCGTGATGGTAAACAAGTATGGTCAGTTTCAAAGCAATACCTCCAATGGTTTTGAAATAAAGTGAGGTGGTACAAAAAACTTAACCAAGCTCAATACACTTTCTAAGTCAAAAAAGGGCCATAATTCTGTCAAAAACCTTGACAGAGTTATGTACTCTTGTCTGTAGATGGAGGTTATGATGGTGAACAAGTATGGTAAGTTTCAAAGCCATACTTGTAATACTTCTGAAATAAAGTGGGGTGGTACGAAAAACTTAACCAAGGTGTGACGCCGACGCCGACGCCGGGGCGAGTAGGATAGCTCCCCTTTTCATAGAAAAGTCGAGCTAAAAATGATTTTGGCATGAAAAATATTAAAGGAAACAAACAATACATTTTTGAATTGATAATGTGTATATTATTCGAAACACTTCATAAACTTAACCGTTTTTATCATAAAGCTTTTTAATGTATATTACCTGATAGATAATGGTTGATATAAAAAGCTATATACTAAAGCTACCTTGATTAGTTCAAAAACCTCTACCATAAAGTAAATACCAAAAACAATCAACCTAACATCACATCTGTCATAATCACAATTTCAAATCTACTATACAAATTTGTGTAAACCAGGTATCCTTTTCAAGCAATTCTTACAAAATTACACTGAGAAATCATGTACAAAATATTAAATTACTTGTATTAATGCTAATCTTTTTAAATGTCAGAAATAGTATTAATATAAATCATTAACAAAAAGAGGTAATGGTTGAAACTACTCTTAAGTAACCAGTTCTGATACAAAACTGCCTACCTTGCCAGAAAAGCAAAGTTTAGATTTCAAATAGCCATTGCCAGATAAACAAAGTTTAGATACCAAACTGCCTACCTTGCCAAATAGACAAAGTTAAGAAACCAAACTGCCTACCTAGTCAGAAAGGCAACGTTTAGATTCCAAACTGCCTACCTTGCCAGATAGACAAAGTTAAGATACCCAGATAGACAAAGTTTAGATACCAAACTGCCTACCTAGACAGATAGACAAAGTTTAGATACCAAACTGCCTACATACCTAGATAGACAAAGTTTAGATACCTAACTGCCTACCTTGCCAGATAGACAAAGTTAAGATACCAAAATAGACAAAGTTTAGATACCAAACTGCCTACATACCCAAATAGACAAAGTTTAGATACAAAACTGACTACCTAGCCAGATAGACAAAGTTAAGACACCAAACTGCCTACCTTGCCAGATAGACAAAGTTTAGATACCAAACTGCCTACCTAGCCAGATAGACAAAGTTAAGATACCAAACTGCCTACCTAGCCAGATAGACAAAGTTAAGATACCAAACTGCCTACATACCCAGATAGACAAAGTTTAGATACCAAACTGCCTACATACCCAAATAGACAAAGTTTAGATACAAAACTGCCTACCTAGCCAGATAGACAAAGTTAAGATACCAAACTGCCTACCTTGCCAGATAGACAAAGTTTAGATACAAAACTGCCTACCTAGCCAGATAGACAAAGTTAAGATACCAAACTGCCTACCTAGTCAGAAAGGCAAAGTTTAGATTCCGAACTCCCTACCTAGCCAGAAAGGCAACATTTAGGTTCCAAACTGCCTTCCTACCCAGATAGACAAAGTTTAGATATCAAACTGCCTACCTACCCAGATAGACAAAGTTAAAACACCAAACTGCCTACCTTGCCAGGTAGACAAAGTTAAGATATCAAACTGCCTACTCTGCCAGATAGACAAAGTAAAGATACCAAAATGCCTACCTAGTCAGAAAGGCAAAGTTTAGATTCGAAACTGCCTACCTGGCCAGAAAGGCAAAGTTTAGATTCGAAACTGCCTACCTACCCAGATAGACAAAGTTAAGACACCAAACTGCCTTCCTTGCCAGGTAGACAAAGTTAAGATATCAAACTGCCTACTTTGCCAGATATACAAAGTAAAGATACCAAACTACCTACCTAGTCAGAAAGGCAAAGTTTAGATTCCAAACTGCCTACCTGACCAGAAAGGCAATGTTTAGATTCCAAACTGCCTATTATCCAGATAGACTAAGTTAAGATACCAAACTGCCTACCTAGCCAGAAGGGCAACATTTAGATTCCAAACTGCCTAACTAGCCAGAAAGGCAAATTTTAGATTCCAAAAAAGGCATCATTTAGATTCCAAACTGGCTACCTAGCCAGAGAGGCAAAGTTTAGATTCCAAGCTGCATTCCTAGCCAGATAGGCAAAGTTTAGATACCAAACTGCAGACCTAACCAGAAAACCAGAAAGACAGAGTTAGATACCAAACTACCTACTTTGTTGTATATGTCAAACTTGTCTACCTTGCAAGAAAGGCAAATTTGTATGCCAAACTGCCTAACTTCTAAGTTTGATTACCAATACTATTGCAATCAGTATTTATCGTACTTATGTGGAAAACAGTTCTATCTTCATTTTAGTGTTTATACTATGTGTCTAAGATGAGCAACATGATTTTTGAAACATAACTGTATACCTCTGTATTTAGTAATAATATATATTTCACAGAACAAATAATAAAACCATTCATTTGTTTTTGGCTGCAATTCAACTTTAGAAAATATCATAATCTTTATACCAAAAGCATTTATTCCTTAAATTTACCATTTTTAACAAAAAAACTCTGAAAGAATGCTGTCAGACAATTAGGGGTGAGTGAATGGAAATTATTTATTTTAAAATGATATAATAAATGCATGTGGTAAAATTTTGTTAAAGAATCAGCAACGCCCCTGAAATAATATACATGCAAAATCAGGCTTTTTGTATCATTTGTAAAACAATAAACCTTTAGCCACATAAAATTATTGTAGCGGATTCACTCAGTATGTACAGTACTAATAACTTCTGGAGGTGACCAATATTTATATACATATATAACAAGTATTTACAAAAAAAACACAAATTATAATAAATTAAACCATAATAAGTTATATAAAATGAATCACATTTTTGTATTGTTACTACATTCCTCCTTTACAAATGCTCATTAAAAAATAACTAAAATGTTCTGCTATGAAGAAATAAGCATTCCAAGATTATATAATGTAAAATACATTCTCTATCATTCTGTTAGAGTCAACATGTCAACATCCAAATCTGTTTACGTGGGTATGCTTGCGTTAACTTACCGCATTTTGCTCATTGTCCAATCTTTCTGTTCCGTTTGAATTTGTGGGCGGAGTTACATTTTCTTGATTGACATTCTCCGCCTCCGAATCTACCGAATTTGCATAACTTGAATCCAGTTTAGCCCCACTATTATCATTTTTTGATTTTTTTAGAGTATTTCTAAATCCATCCATAACTGTTTGTTTTTTGGGTTTAACAGAATCACTGCCTTCTAAACTAGTACTAAATGTCTTTTTACCATCTTTCTCATAAGTTTTTGAACACTCTGTCGGTGAGCTGGGACAAGATGTTTCCCGTGCACATGCTCCTTCTCCTTCATTACAGTCAGTTTTTTGATTGGGTACTTCATTTAATGGGGTTGGGACTGATTTACAACGGAAATGTTTATGTGTTTCATCTGGAGTACGACCCTTCACAATACCCTGTTGATTAGAGTTACTGCCCCTGGAAGAATGAGGTTGGGAATTAGTTTTGCGGAGTTGTCCATCTTTGTTTTTATAACCAATATCTGATGTTGACCTGAAAGTTTTATACATCATATAATTACTACACAAATTATGTATCTATAGATTAGGTCCCTAAATGTATATATTCCTTAAATATACAGATTGTTGTATATCTTTTCTAAAAAAATAGTCAACTCACTTAGGAGACAATATGAACCCAGCTATTTTATGTGAAAAGGGGGTAAATGCAAATTAAAAAACAAATTAATTAAACATCTGTTATCTCAAATACTATTCCTGTATACAGATGACAAAAGAAGGGTAAAGTGAGAAGAATTCAGTGCAGTGCTAACAGATCCATTCCATACATTAAATACTGTACAAAGCCCTATATATTCTTTTTTTCAGAAAGTTCAGGCATTTTACAAATAATAGCAGATAAAAGTTAGTTTTATTTAGAAAGAAATAGAAATGTGTCCACAGGACATTGATGTCCCCACTTCATTTCCCGTTCACAGTGTCATATTTTCATACTTAATACATACTTAATCAAAAAGGTCAAAAGTTATGTCATTGAGTAGTATATAATACATTGTAGTTTTATAACTGTCACAAACCTACAACTGAGAAATCTCTAGTTATTGATAAGATAAGAATTTCAGTGCCACTGTGACTTTCACCTAATGAGTTTAAAATGAATAGAGGTCATCTACTGGCCATAGACAGGTCTCAACCAAGTTGCATTTCCTTAGAACAGGTAAAAAATCTTTCTGCCAAGAACTTAGAAGTTTGCATTTCCTTCCATTTACTGACTAGACAAGGATAACTTATAAACATGTATGTACGTACAGACGGAACACACATTACAGTATGCTTCCCACTTTCTTAGTAGGTGCATAAGAAGAAACTTTTTTTGTGCTTTATTGTGATAATTTCTTACAAAAAAAGTATCATGATAATTCATATAATTTCAATAACATGCTCAAAATATTGCCTTGATTATATGCTCACAAGAATTTTTAAATCCTAATCAAATTTGTGACAATTTCAACAGTACCTTACATTTCTTAAACATAAGTATGAGCTTCACATATGTCACACTGTTTTGTTTATTTGTTTTGCCAATGCTTTCTTACAACTTACAACAATTCTTCAAACTTGATTGGCACAAAATTAATATGGTATTTTCTTCATGAAACTCTCTACATTTTCCCCACTTACCAAGGTATGATTAAAGTGGTCATTTTTTCATTTTCTTTAGAATTAACATGAGGTCAAGGTTATTCTCCTTTAATACATCAAATAGTTTATCTTTTCCAAATGATTTATTTACAGTAAGATGAATATATGCAATATCAGTATTGAAGATTAGAGAAGATTTCAGCATTCCTATATAAACAGAGACAGAAAATAATGTAGATATCTGCTGCATCAACAAAAAACTAGCAACCAATGTAGATCTTCTTCAACATTATTATTCTCAAATGATTCTCTGATAAAACACTTCAAAAGTTTTATAATAAAAATCACAAACCAAATCATTTTTTCTTGGTTGTATTTGATCAATGCTGCAATATAGATACATACACCATGTTACAAGAGAAAGTTGAGCATTTTGCCAATTATGTCATGTTCATGTATGCTAAACTTTTAAGGAAATTGTCAATTTGTTAACATCTGACTTAATGAATAGAACAACAACATGAAGATCTACAAAGGTTGAAACTTTAATTGAGCAGAAAAATGTCCAGATATAAGCTGTGACGGTATGAATTTTCTAAACTTACAACCTATCTACTTGGAAATGGCCACCTGGTAAAAAAGTATAGAATACCTAATATAAGTAATCAATTAAAAGATTTTTAAGAAAAGGTAATGTGAGCCAATATAACTCCAGCTTTAAGACCAAGTTTATATAATATGTCATGTTTATCTGGACAACATTACATTTGTCTTGGTTACCTGGATGTTAAAACTTTACACAAAGACTACATGCTTATAAAGGTTGCCTCAAAAGTAAAAACAAGAGGACCATGATGGCCCTGAAATCGCTCACCTGTATATAGGCCCCTGGGCCAAGGCCAATTTTGACCCCAGGGCTTTTATATGAACAAACTTGGTAGACACCCATTAGAAGATGTTTTATGATATTAAATATCTAAGCTCTAGCTCTTTGGGGTTTTTATAAGAAGATTTTTTAAGTTTTAACTATACATATATAGGGAAAAATAATGACCCCCCCCGCTGGGAGGGGCCAAGTTTGACCCCAGGGCTTCTATTTTACTTGGTAGACACTCACTAGAAGATATTGCATGCTTAGTATCTAAACTCTAGCTCTTTGCATTTTTATAAGAAGATTTTTTATATTTTTACTACACACATGTAAGGAAAATCAATGACCCCTGGGGCGAGGCCAATTTTAACCCAAGGGCCCTTATTTGAACAAAACTTGGTAGACACCAATTAGAAGATGTTTCATGCTAAATATCTTAACTCTAGCTCTTTGGGGTTTTTAAAAGAAGATTTTTTAAGTTTTTACTTATACAAACAAGGAAAATCAATGACCCCCAAGGGCGGGCCAATTTTGACCCCAGGGCATTTATTTGAACAAACTTGGTAGACAATGAATAGATGATGTTTCATGCCAAATATTTAAGCTCTAGCTCTTTCTGTTTTCTAAAAGAAGATACTTTAAATTATTTCTTTCTGTTGCTATGGCAACCAGAGTTCTGCTTGGAATTAAATTCTTTGAATAATTTTTAAAGTTGACTACCAAAGGAACATTCCTGTGAAGTTTGGATGAAATTTGCTGAGCGGTTTATGAAGAGATGTCCGGACGCCAGACGTAAAAGCGATCACAAAAGCTCACCATGTCACTTTGTGACAGGTGAGCTAAAAAAAGTGTTGAAATATTCAAATCATATGAATTATTTGACAAATACCTTATCATTTCTCTATTTAAAAAATACTCCTTAAATTTTTTAAAAGATACAATATTTGAAATATGAGTTCTTATATATGTTAATATATACTTACAATTCTTTAGTTTGCTCTTTTTCTTTGTTATAGAATGCTATTGGTGACTGTAGAGCTAAAATACAACAACAAAAATTCATTCTTACATTATTTTTCATCTCTCAATAAATAAACATAAAGTACTAGCTGTATTAAAATAATTTTTGACCTCCATTTGTATTCAATGAAATACAGCTAAATAAAGATTTTAACCATTTGTTAAAATGGCAGCAGTTATGCAATTATCATTTTTGATTTTTAGTTTAAACCTCTCTTAGAATAATGTTGCCATAAAAACTAGAACTGCCACTATCATGGCGTGAATACCCCCGCATACCACTTTGTCAGAATCAACAGAGGCCATTTAAAGCTCAAGGACAACCTCCCTGCCAAATCTGAGGTTACTAAGCCAGTGCATTGCTAAGTTATGTATTCTACATGCTTCAAATGTGAAAATGTCAAAAACAATACACTGCAGACAGGCATTCTTAAGCAATTGAGGGGAAAAGCTTTTTTTTGTCAAGGTCCCTGTGACCTTGACCTTTGACCCAGTGACCTCAAAATCAATAGGGGTCACTTTATGGTCATGATCAACATCTATGCCAAATACGAAGACTGTGGGTCAAAGGTTTCTTAAGTTAATGGGTGGACAATTTTTTTTAGTCAAGGCTCCTGTGACCTTGACCTTTGACCCAGTGGCCTAAAAATCAATAGGGGTCACCTTTTAATCATGACTAACCTCCATGCCAAATATGAAGACTGTGGGTCAAAGGAATCTTAAGTTGGGCAGACAAACGTTTTGAAGTCAAAGTCCCTGTGACCTTGACCTTTGATCCATTGACCTCAAAATCGTTAGGGGCATCTACTAATCATGACTAACCTCCATGCCAAATATGAAGACTGTGGGTCAAAGGAATATTAAGTTATTGGGCGGACAAGCTTTTTGAAGTCAAAGTCCCTGTGACCTTGACCTTTGACCTGGTGACCTCAAAATCAATAGGGGTCATCTACTAATCATGACTAACCTCCATGCCAAATATGAAAACTGTGGGTCAAAGGAATCTTAAGTTATTGGGCGGACAAGCTTTTTGAAGTCAAGGCCCCTGTGACCTTGACCTTTGACCTCAAAGTCGATAGGGGTCATCTACTAATCATGACAAACCTCCATGCCAAATATGAAGACTGTGGGTCAAACAAATCTAAAGTTATTGGGCAGACTAGCTTTTTCTAGTTAAGACCCCTGTAACCATGACCTTTGACCCAATGACCTCAAAATCAATAGGGATCATTTTCTAATTATGACTAACCTCCATGCCAATATGAAAACTGTGGGTTAGAGAAATCTTAAGTTTTATGTCGGACAAGCTTTTATTGTCAAGCTCCCTATGACCTTGACCTTTGAACCAGTGACCTCAAAATGAATAGAGGTCATCTACTAATCATGACAAACCTCCATGCCAAATATGAAGACTGTGGGTCAAAGCAATCTTAAGTTATTGGGTGGACAAGCTTTTTGAAGTCAAAGCCCCTGTGATCTTGACCTTTGACCTGGTGACCTCAAAATCAATAGGGGTCATCTACTAATCATGACTAACCTCCATGCCAAATATGAAGACTGTAGGTCAAAGCAATCTTAAGTTATTGGGCGGACAAGCTTTTTGAAGTCAAGGCCCCTGTGACCTTGACCTTTGACCTGGTGACCTCAAAATCTATAGGGGTCATCTACTAATCATGACTAACCTCCATGCTAAATATGAAGACTGTAGGTCAAAGGCATCTTAAGTTATTGGTCGGACAAGAAAAAACCGACGGACGGCCGGACAGCCGGACGGACAAGCTGATTCCAGTATACCCCCCTTACAACTTTGTTGTGCGGGGGTATAAAAATCTGAAGGGCTCTATTTTGTGTAAATTTGTTGGAAAAATTTCAAGTTCTTTAAAAGTAATCTCAGAACAAGATTGCATTTGTGAAAAATGCTATGCCACCGAATTAATACAACACTAAATAGTAAGTAGTGTCGGAACAGAATTTTTTTTGTTTCTATACAATTGAACATTCCCATAATGCATAGATCCCTGACCTATCTGATTCTTATTATCAGATTAGTGGATACAATAACAATTTCGCCACAACCTATTGTTAACAAAAAAGCACAGTCATGTCAATGTTTGTGGTTAAATGTATTTTATTCAAATAAAATGTCAGAGTAGGGATCTATCAATGCAGTTGTGCCTAGTGAATTTGGTGGTGAAGGTCATATTTTACATGGCCTAAATTTCATGTCTGTACATTAAAGGACAACATAGTAAGACACTTTGACAAAATCTAGTTCAGCTGATATCAAAGTTAAATTTACATTTGAATCTGTGCACATGATTCAAATTTCATAGCTGTACATCAATGGACAATAAAGTAGGTCACATCATCAAAATCTAGGTCACCTGATATCAAAGTTCAATTTTACAACTAAAACTGTACACATGGTCCAAATTTCATGGCTACCAAAGGAAAATTCCTCTGAAGTTTGGATGTAATTGGCTTAGTAGTTTATGAGGAGATGTTGCTTAAAGTACAAGGGTACGGACAGATGGACGCCTGACAAATTGTGATAACAAAAAAGATACTTTGCCTAAGTAAAATTGGTTAACTAGCATATATTAGTTGTTAGTTTTCCATTCAAAATATTCATGACTCTTCTGTGTTTAAATGCCTAAAACATTTTTTTATAAGTGTTCTGAGTTTAAATGCCTACAATATGTTTATGATTATTTGATGTTTGTGTTACAATGTTTACACTATAATAAAGTTTTTTTTTCAAGTTTCAATGTCTAACATCATTCTGCTCACGAGTTTTTTTTACCTCTGAGAAAATCTCCCTGCATTTTGCAAAACCAGTTCTTAGCATTTTCAAAAAAACCTTAAACCCAAGAAAATTTAAAACATAAAAGAGAGAAAAACCTTACCAAAGAGTCAAAAAAGGGGAAACCAATTGAACTTTTTGAAAATTATCTTCCCCTCTTTGTGGTTGGATTGGGAAAATTTATGGGAACCTGAACCCCAAAAAAACGTTTTTTTTTGCAAAATTAAAATTATTTAATTTTAAAATCATTATGAAAAACCTAAAATTTTTCTTTCAAAACGAAAAAATTAAATTTATTTATTTACAAAGCATGATTGTCCCCAAAAAGGGGTTAAGGGTTAAAAGTTTAATTTTCCGGAAAGGTTAAAAAAACAACAACCCCCGGGTAAAGGAAAAAAATATCTTATTTTCCTTCGGACCAACCCGATAAGAAAAGGGGGGGTTCCCAAAGGTTTCCGTCCGAACCAAACATAAATTCAGAATTTTTTTTTAAAGAATTTTTTCATTTAAGGAAACCCAAAGATATTTTTAAAATTTTTATTTATCCATCAATTTTTTTTAAAAATTTTATAAATTCAACAATCCAAAAACAAATAAAATTCCAAGGTATTTTTTAAAAAAGGAAAGGAAAAGGGGTTCCCCTTTTTTTTAAAAAAGGGGGTTTATCATTTTAAAAAGCATAAAAACGTTTTTATAAAAGACCCCACAAAACTCCCCCCAGATAAAAAATTTTGGAAAGATTTTAAATCCAGAAACCACCAGAAAAAAGTATTTTTTAAATTTTTCCAAATTTCCCGCCAAAAAAAAAAGGGGAAATACCAAGGTTAAGGAAAATTTTTTCAACCCGATTTTTCCGAAAAATAAAAAAAACCCAAATGTTTTAACAAAGGTATTTAAAATTTTTTTTTCTTCAGGGAAAACACAGATAAGGTAGGAAAATCATTTATTATTCAGACCAAAAAACAGATAAGTAAGGGTTTCATTTTTTCTGTTTAGACAAACAAAAGTAAGTAAATAGATTTCCCCCAAATTTTTATTCTTTTTTCTTTTGACCCCAAAACAAAATAAGTAAGGAAAATCATTTATTCTGTTTAGAAAAACCCTTAAGATAATTTTTAAACAACCAGAAATAAATATTTTTTTTTCAGACAAAAACAACAGATAAAATAAAATATAATTTGTAAAAACCCTTAAATTACTTTTTCAAAGACCACACAAAATAAGTAGGAAATATCTTTTTATAACCCTTGGGTTTTTTTCATAACACCAAAAGATAAGTTTGGATTAATTTAAATTCCCCGTTTACGACCAACCACACAAAATTTAAATAAGGGGTACAAATTTATTCTTTCAGACACACACAGATAAGTTAAATATCCCTTTATTCCCCGTCAGCAAATGACAAAAAGTAATAAAATTTTTCCCCCAGTTTTTTTTTGGTAGATTTTTTTTAAAATCGATAATTAGGATAAACAAATTTTTTGAAAGGGCACTCCAGATAAGTAGGAATCATTTATTTCTGTCAGACACCAAAAATAAGTAAGGGTAAAAAATTTTTTTTCTTTTCAACCCCACCCCAGTTAAGTAAAATATTCAAATTTATTTTTCAGGAACCAAATACCAATGAAGTTAGGGCAATTTTTTCTTTTCAGACACAAAAAGATAAGTAGGATATTTATTTATTCTGTTAGACCCCCAAAAAGCAAAATGAATTTATTTTTTCTTTTCAGGGCCCCAACCCCAGAAAAAAGTAAAGATACAAATTTTTTCTGTTCAACAAAAACAAAAGATAAGTGGGTTTATTTATTTTGTTAGAAACCCGATTAAGTTTATCAATTTTTGACCCAAAAAATTAATTTAAAATATCATTTATTCTTTTTGCAGAAAACAAACACATTTGGTTTAAAACTTTTTTCGTCAAAACAAGATAAGTAGGATATCATTATCAGACATCTGATATCATTTATTCTGTCAGACACACACCACAGACACACAGATAAGAAGGATATCATTTATTCTGTCAGATACACACATATAGAGTAGTAGATATCATTTATTCTGTCAGACACACACAGATGAGTAGGATATCATTTATTCTGTCAGACACACACACCATAATGAGTACAGATACTTCATTTATTCTGTCAGACACACCACAGTGGTAAGTAGGATATCATTTATTTCTGTCAGACACACACAGATAAGTAAGATATCATTTATTCTGTCAGACACACATATATAAGTAAGATATCATTTATTTTTGTCAGACACACACACAGATAACTAGGATATCATTTATTCTGTCAGACACACACAGATAAGTAGGATATCATTTATTCTGTCAGACACACACAGATAAGTAAGATATCATTTATTCTGTCAGACACACACAGATAAGTAAGATATCATTTAGACACACACAGATGAGTAAGATATCATTTATTCTGTCAGACACACACATATAAGTAAGATATCATTTAGACACACACAGATAAGTAGGATATCATTTATTCTGTCAGACACACACAGATAAGTAGGATATCATTTAGACACACACAGATGAGTAAGATATCATTTATTCTGTCAGACACACACAGATAAGTAGGATATCATTTATTCTGTCAGACACACACAGATAAGTAGGATATCATTTATTCTGTCAGACACACACAGATAAGTAAGATATCATTTATTCTGTCAGACACACACAGATAAGTAGGATATCATTTATTCTGTCAGACACACACAGATAAGTAGGATATCATTTATTCTGTCAGACACACACAGATAAGTAAGATATCATTTATTCTGATAGGATGACAGAGAGGAGTAGGATATCATTTATTTGGCCAGGTGAGTAGGGTATCAATTATTCCAACAGGTGAGTAGGGTATCATTTATTTGGCCAGGTGAGTATGGAATCAATTGATCTGACAGGTGAGTAGGGTTGATTGATTGATTGATGACCGGACGGTCAAGGATAACCTACGAAAGTGCAAGCACTTATTTCCAGTAGGGTCCTTACCTCACCAGACTCTAGAGACAGCTATGAGATACAAAGGAGTCCGGGAACCAGTCCCTAGCTCTTATTGAAAAGACCCCTTGGTTCTTTAACATGCCCAGTGTATAGCACTGATACATGCGAGGATTACCTGGGTTTCTTACCAGTAAACCTCTAGGCAGGTGGGAAACATTGAAAGTGTCTCTAAAAAATCCCAAGGGTATTACCCAGGATCAAACCCGGAACCTTAGGAGTGACAGTCAGTGGTCTAACCACCTATATCATTTATTTGGCCACGTGAGTATGGAATCAATTATTCTGACAGGTGAGTAGGGTATCATTTATTTGGCCAGGTGAGTATGGAATCAATTATTCTGACAGATGAGTAGGGTATCATTTATTTGGCCAGGTGAGTATGGAATCAATTATTCTGACAGGTGAGTAAGGTATCAATTATTTGGCCAGTTTGGTAGGGTATCATTTATTTGGCCAGGTGAGTAGGATATCATATATTTGGCCAGGTGAGTAGGATATCATATATTTGGCCAGGTGAGTAGGGTATCAATTATTTGGCCAGGTGAGTAGGGTACCAATTATTTGGCCAGGTGAGTAAGATATCATTTATTTGGCCAGGTGAGTAGGATATCATTTATTTTGCCAGGTGGGTAGGGTATCAATTATTTGGCCAGGTGAGTAGGGTATCAATTATTTGGCCAGGCGGGTAGGGTATCAATTATTTGGCCAAGTAAAGCTAAAAATGACTTGCATCATCTCTATATGGCCCTCTACTCACTTTCTTAGTATCATCGACCAAGCTTTTGTATTTTTTTAGTTATGACTGGATCAAAAATCTCAGGACAGAGGGAGAAAGGATAAACCTATAGTCCCCTCCAGTAAAACTGGTAGGACTTTAGTCTATTTCTGCAAAGCTGGGCTAGAAATATCTCACCTTCAAACTGTTTTTGAATAGATAGTAAGCACTGACAATATTTCCTCGCTTCTTTTCTATCATTTCACTGAAGAGAATAATTTGTTCAAACAGAAATACACGCCTCTCTTTAAACTTGAGCTGATTCCCTTTAGAACTTGAGCCGCCACTTGTTACCTCGGCAACCAATAAGGTGTCCTGTAAATAGGTTAATTTATACTTTTTCCCCAGCTAATATAAAATATATTTATTCTTTCAAAACATAAATGTAAACACATATATCTTTTAAAGTTTCTGAAACAAAAAAGAAAAGCCATTAAGAAAAACTTTTAATAACTAAGTTATCATCTCATACAATGGTTGGACAGGCAGGAATTGGTTGTTAATATCTATTTCCTTCAATTAAAACTTTTCAACTACAAAATGTGAAGGTATATCTTGGATGTAAGTAATCTGTAAGTTTACTAGAGAACAATGATAACAGGTAAATCTCCACTTTACAAGAAGCATTTCATGTAACTACCTCTATCCCTGTTTTAAACATTTTTAATGCTTTATGTGGAAATCAAGAAGGCTCAAAATCAACATTGACAAACTGCCCAAGACATACTTTTATTTAGAAAAGGAATGGTGTCTATATTTTAACTGAATTGTAACGAGGAAACAAGCACTACTTTATATAGAATTTTCAACTTTTTTCATGATGTAACTCACCTGAAGCAGTAATTTCCCTACAGCAGTTATTTTACCCTGCAATAAAAATACATATTGCATAATTACAGTCAAATTAAAAAACACACACAAAAAAAACACCCCCAAACAACATATAGTAAATTTGTCCAAAAATTAATACCTCTTTAACATAAGAACAAGAGGGCCATGATGACCGTGAAATTGCTCACCTGAATATAGGCCCCTGGGTCAAGGTCAATTTTAAACCAGGGGCTTTTATTTGAACAAACTTGGTAGACACTAACTAGAAGATGTCTCATGCTTAGTATCTTAACTCTAGCTCTTTGGGTTTTTTAAAAGAGGATTTTTAAGTTTTACTATATACATAACAGGAAAAACAATGACCCCCCTGGGGCGGGGCCAATTTTAACTTCAGGGCTTTTATTTCAACAAACTTGGTAGACACCCACTAGAAGATGTGTCATGCTTTATATCTAAGCTCTAGCTATTTTGGTTTTTCAAAAGAAGATTTTTTAAGTTTTTAATATACACATTTAAGGAAAATCAATGACTCCTGGGGTGGGGCCAATTTTGACCCCAGGGCATTTATTTGAACAAACTTGGTAGACACCCATTAGAAGTTGATTCATGCTTAATATCTTAGCTCTAGCTCTTTGTGGTTTTTAAAAGAAGATTTTTCAAGTTTTACTATATACATAACAGGAAAAACATTGACCCCCCTAGGGCAGGGCCATGTTTAACCTCAGGGCTTTTATTTCAACAAAGTTGGTAGACACCCACTAGAAGATGTTTCATGCTTTATATCTAAGCTCTAGCTAATTTGGTTTTTCAAAAGAAGATTTTTTAAGGTTTTACTATATACAAATAAGGATAATCAATGACCCCCCAAAGGCGAGGCCAATTTTGACCCTAGGGCATATATTTGAACAAACTTGGTAGACACTGACTAGATGATGTTCTATGCCAAATATTTAAGCTCTAGCCTTTCGGTTTTCTAAAAGAAGATATTTTCAGTTTTTTCTTTTGGTTGCCATGGCAAGTTTTGATGAAATTGGCTTAACGGTTTATGAGGAGATGTCGTTTAAAGTAAAAGTTTATGGACGCTGGACGGACGCCGGATGAAAAGCAATCACAAATGCTCACCATGTCACTTTGTAACAGGTGAGCTAAAAAAGCACATATATAAACTTAATTACATGTATATGATAAGATAATAAAAGTATATTCACATTTTTAATATGTAGTACAGCCTTTTCAACATCATCAGTTTTAAAGTATCATTTGTTTTAAGAGGTATTAAAATTAATAAATAAAGAAATAAATTCAAGGGGAAGCAGTCTTTAACTTTATAACAGTAATTATTCATAAGAAAGCCAGCACAGCTTGAACTATGTTTTGGCTCTGAAGTTTCTGAGGATAAGTGAAAGAATTTTGTAGTGAAGAATTCTCCCAGAAAACATTAGTTTCTTGTACAAAATATAATTAAAATTTCATATATGACCTCATTAAGTTATGGTCATTTACAGGGCAGGGACCAATATTGACCAAAGGGGCATAATTAATATCATCTTTGTAAAGACCTACAAGGCAACACTTCAAGCAAAACATTTAAGCTCACATAATTTGACTTTAGTGTATCTTCCTAAATAAAGTCAAAACAAGAAACATGGCAAGGCATGAAACCAAGTTTTCAACAATATCCACTTAATAATGTTACTTTAAAAGAAGACCACTACATGCCATATCCGAACTGTAAACATTAGTTTCTGAGGTTGAGACTTTTAAAGATTTCATTATCTGAGTCTATAATAAGCTCCTGTAACCTACTAACGCATCAGACTTAGAACCATTTATATATTTTTTGTAGTCACCTCAGGATCATTCATGTGAAGTTTGTTCAAAAGTTATCAAGTAGTTGAGGAGAATATGTTTTATTAAGAAATTGTGGTTACTGATGGACAAGTAAGTCATGCTATCACAACAGCTCATCTTTCAGCACCTGTGCTCAGGCAAGCTAAAAAGAATGGGCAATAAACATTAGTAAGGTGTTATGATAATTATGATAATTAAAAGTTGATATCATACAGTGTATCCTTGAAGTCTACCAAACTGCATCATATCGTTGGCATCTTTAGGAACTACACACATCACATTGTATGCACGTCGAAGTTGAGCTGAGTCTAGTCCTGCACGTTCTGTATACTTTAAAATATCCTGAATAAAATTTTTCAATAAACACTCAATAAAACAGAGCATACATTCACTACTTTTGAACAGTTGGAAAACAATGAAAATCAGAATTATCGTAATACTAGATTCTAAAGAAACTGTGGCCTATCAATAAATATTAGGTTTCTATGGGTTCTATATGTTTCCATATATGACACCAGAATTAGTGTGTTTCAGGGAGCTTCAATGTGGTTCTAATAAAGCTTTCTTCACAATTTTATGTTTAACCTCAACTGGATCCTGAGATATTCTTATCTTTATATTTTCATGTCTGCAGTTTCAAGGTCACACTGGAGTTTTTCAACATATAAGTTTTGTCTGAAGTGTTTTTATGTTCAAACATAAATCAAATCCTTTCATCAAAAACAAAGACTTAATATACAAGAGCCACCGCTGGGCCCGGGCAAAGCTCCACTTTTTTTTTTACATTTTCTAAAAGCAAACAAATAAACAGTTTTAAACAAATCTTTAAAAAGTTTACCTTCTTTTATTTTAATAGATCTGTCTAGTCATACTTGTTGTTTGTCCAAGTTTGAATCATTTCCATAATTATATAAATGACAAAGTTTAGAAAATATAAGCAAAATTCAATCATCTGACCTGGATGGTCAGAGGTCATTTAAAGGTCAAAGTCAGTTCAACCTTTTAGAAGGTCTTTTTGGACAACAATGGCATTTTTGCAACAGCTACATCAACATGACTGTAGCAACAGCTCTTTTTACCTGAGCTAAACAACAGTTTAAATTTGTTTTTGAAGTCACCTCTGACCTAAGTCATGTAATGCAGACAGAAACATGAGCTTCTATGAAGAGTTCTCCTAAGGGACTAACATTTATTAATGTGTCTATACAACAGTTTTATCCAGTCTGGGATGTTATAATTCTTTCAAGCTGATAATACTTCTTGCAAAACTTTTGTCCGCTGCTAGTTGTAAAACTTCACCAAAATCATGTGTGCAGGTCCAAAGTGGTGCTGGGGGTTTAAAAGAAGTGCACACAGACAGTCAGGACTGACCAATAGCCGGAAACCAGTAAACCTCCCATATGCAGGGTGTATAATTTGACCTTCGTGGTCAAGTTCATTTATGAATCAAGGTCAAATTCAGTCTGATCTTCTTGCAATCAGAAGGATTGTTGTGTCCAAATATGAATATAATCCACTAAATAAAACAAAGTCATGATGAATTTTAAAGTTATAGACGGCAACACCATGACTATAGCAAAGAATTTTCTTTGAGCTGAAAGGTATTCAATATCCACTATTAATGCATAAAAGCTGTTCAAAATGACTTACCTTTAAAATAAGTTGATATTTCATTATTCTTTGTACAGGTTTTATAAGAAGGTCTGCAAGATTTAATCTGTGACCTAATTTCTGTCGGATTTCCTAAAAGATAATATTTCATTCAAACATTTAATTTCAAAAGATGTTATTTAAGTTAAAATGATAAAGATAGTCAAATGACATTAAAGACACAAAATATGTTAGTCAAAACCAAGCTCTGCGTCATTAAGTTTGAGAATTTCATATTCTAAGATATTTTTAGCTCTGATAACCTATTAGACCCAAATGTCCACAGACTTCTAAAAAAGAATTGTACAAAGTCAGAAACGCTTGATACAAAATACTCGGTTTAAAAATTTAAGCTAAAAAAATCATATAACTAAAGAAACTATACTTGATACATTTATAAATCTAATGGAAATCCTGGTGTGAGTAGAATGGATTTTTACACTTTATATAAGCATCTTTTGTCAAATTTTTCATTTTGTTAACAGTTAATTCTATTAAAAATATAAAATGAAATGTTATTGACATTTTATATTCTAATTTTCAGTTTTAGTATGATGTCAGGACTAAGAAAGAACACAGCAGGATTCTTATATAAAACAAACAAAATCTGACCAAGAAATAAAATACAAGGACTTACCTCAAAGAAGGTGTCAATGTATTCAGACACAATATATTCTGACTTGGGTTTGTTTTCACAATACTTTACATACATAGCAAGTCGTCTTTCCTGCAAACAAAATAATTATATAACATGTCATTGTTGTCATGAATGTTATTTTGTCCCAATATGATATAAGAATATTGTTTTAGGTCATTTGTGTGCTCCCTGAATCTACATATCTGTCAATGTATTTCAATGCACAACAGTCAATAAATGAAAGTGTAGGTTTTCTTTGAATTGACCTTGTTCAGATGACTCATCTTTAACTTATCATGATTAAAATTTCGTAAATTTCTCATTTCCATTCTAATTTGATAAATGAACATTACAATATTCTATTAATTCTGGTACATTATTATCATGCACACTTTTATTTAATTAAATGATATAAAGAAATGAAACATATCTATGCCTCTCCAACTTTAAATTTGTACGATTTTTTCTATTTCCCCCCACAATCAAATCAAACAAGTGTTCAATAGTCATAGGTTCGAGTTGTAAGCACAACTGAGCGATATGAGGTACTTTTCAACAAAAGAACAGAACTGTTCACCAAACAGGTTATAAAGCATGGACCTTATACTGTGAACAGCTACAAATACTTTGGAAACATTTTAGAATGTTTCTGAAGTCACAGTTTATGACGTTGTGACAATGTTCAGACTGTACCCTATGTGCTTTACTATGTTTGCTTAGATATGCATGACCATAATGTGTTTGCTATAATTTTTGTTTCCTTATAAAAGAGGATAAAAATTATATTAGGAATTATTATAGTGTTTGTTACATGAACATTTTTAGTTTTATCAAAATCAACCTATTATCTTTGGCAGACATTATGTAGACCGATTTATCTTTCACCTGCAATCTTGATTATTAATGCCTTATTAATAATTGTTACAACTTAACAAATGCGCCACATTAACAAGGCCATCATAGAAATTACCGTTTATTGATGCAGAAATGTTGCATGTTATGTTGTGTGTTTGTTACTTAAATAAGAAATAAAATTTTGCTCTTTTTTATATTTCTGATAATTTTTAACAGTATTATATAAGACATTGGGGGAAAAAGACAACTTTGATGTAACTGTGAAAGGGGCCTGTTTATTGGACCCGTATAAATGATAAAAAATGCTGAGAATAACATTAAAGTTTTGGGACTGCAAAAGATATTGGAATGACAAAGACAACTTCATCATGACCTTTTGTTATATTAGTTTCCAACAGTAAACAAATATTTTGTGTTGCGTGAATATCACCTACCTGCAGCAGCTACTTCTGCTAATCAATACAGTATAAAGTGGTGTGACAGTCATTGTGAAGGGTAAAGGCAGAAAATTTAATGTAGACTCAAGAAACTTTTTTTAATACTTCATTCTAATCTATTTAACCTCTATGGGAATAGTTTTCTGAGTTAGAACCTAGAATTACCAAAAAAGAAATTATTGCAAAATCTCCTTCTATCATAATTTGAAGTTGTTAGATAAGAACAGATTAAGGGTTATATCACTGACATATGATAGTGATAACAAACATTTATGTTGAATATTACCTATAATTCAAACTAATATATTTCAAGTTTTTATTTATGATTTATGTAGATAATAAAATTACCCCTGGACACTGTTCATACTAATAATTGCCCTACCAGCACTTTCAGTTCATACTGGTAGCAAAGCCATGTTTTGGTAACATTTACAAGATAAGCATGTACATAGATATATACTGATATCTTCAGAGCAGCACAAACATCAAGTCATGATTCCATCAACAAAAGTATTGACATGCATATGAAAAACACAGCTTGACATTTTTGTGTGTTTTCTTTCTAATCTTATACATGTATATTGAGATACAAAATAAAATTTCCAAAAGCTGGTTCTTGTTAACTTTATAGTTACTAATTATTTGTTTTCAATCAGACTAATGGTTCTATGCCAACATCTTGATTTTCATTGCCTGTAATAAATGAACACAAGAAAATGCACATGTACTGCAGATGTTACAAGAAAAATGCAAGTAAAGCAATACAGCATACACAAAAACCTGTACAGTGATAACTTACAATTCAAACACCTAACAGATGTACAGGGTTAACTAAACCTTCAAACACCTTTAAGATGGCAAAAGAATGTTGCACTGGTGTAACTAACTTCAAACATCATAGGTGGCTGTACAGGAGTACTGAACCCTAAAAGCACCTTTAAAGGATGTCAAGGGGTAACTTAACCTACAAACAACTTTAAATTAGCAATAGAAGGCTGTACAGGGGTACTGAACATAAAAACACCTTTAAAGGCTGTCAAGGGGTAACTTAACCTACAAACAACTTTAAATTAGCAATAGAAGGCTGTACAGGGGTACTGAACCCTAAAAACACCTTTAAAGGATGTCAAGGGGTAACTTAACCTACAAACAACTTTAAATTAGCAATAGAAGGCTGTACAGGGGTACTGAACATAAAAACACCTTTAAAGGATGTCAAGGGGTAACTTAACCTACAAACAACTTTAAATTAGCAATAGAAGGCTGTACATGGGTACTGAACATAAAAACACCTTTAAAATAGCAATAGAAAGATGTCAAGAGGTAACTGAACACTCAAACTTTTTTAAAATGGTGCTAAAAGGCAAAATAGTGTTATCTTAACCTACAAACCACTTCTAAAGAGCCACGGATGGCTGTTCCCTTTAAGCTAAATACAAAATTATTTGATTGAAATACAATGACCCTTTATTTTGTCCAAGTATACATAAATAAAATCACAGACACTTGGGGTTTGGAGCTCAAAACGCCTTTAAAATCTAAATAAAATGCATATTTGTCAATCCCAGCACATGTACTGATCATATATATCAAAACAAGGGTGCCATTATAAGTCACAAAATACGCCCGTTTACGAAAGCTTTAGATGGAGATGGGGGCATTATGGATAAGTGTTATCTAGCAAGCAAGTTTTTATTTCTTGGCACTGTGTTGTTAAATGAACCTTAAAACAAATCAGTAGGGAAGATATGCACAGGATGTGTGACCTTGACCTTGGTCGCAGGGACCTGAATTTTATGCACGGCACTCAGCCTCACAATGATGAACATTTGTGCCAAATTATATTGAAATCCCTCTATGCATGTAGAAGTTTTGCTCCAGACAAGCGTTTTTCTATGAGCTCTGTGACCTTCACCTTTGACCTAGAGACTTGGTTCATGTGCAGGGCACTACGTCTCATGGTGGTGAACAATTCTATAAAGTAACATTAAAATTCCTCCATGCATGTAGAAAATATGCTCCGGACAACATCTGGATATTTAATCATCTCCAGTGACCTTGACCTTGCAAATATTAACCTAAATTAAATGTCTCACACCTGTAGTCATGATAGTTACCATTTGTGCTACAATCCATCAATAAATGATGACTAAATGGTCCCTATACACATCTTCAAATTTTTATCTGAACTTTGACCTCTATGTGTAACCTTGACTTTGGTCGCAGGGATCTGAATTTTGCGTGCGACACTCAGCCTCACAATGGTGAACATTTGTGCCAAGTTATATTGAAATCCCCCTATGAATGTAGAAGTTTTGCTCCGGACAAGCGTTTTTCAATGAGCTCTAAGTGTGACCTTGACCTTTGACCTGGAGACCTGGATCATGCATGGAGCAATACATATCATGGTGGTGAACATTTCCATAAAGTATTATAAAAATTCTTCCATACATGTAGGAGATATGCTCCAGACAAAATCTGGATATTTCACCATCTTTAGTGACCTTGACCTTGCATATATTGACCTAAAGTACATGTGTCACAGCCGTAGTCATGATAATGACCATTTGTGTTACAATCCCTCAATAAATGATGATTAAATCGTCCCTATACACATCTTCATATTTTTATCTAAACTTTGACCTCTATGTGTGACCTTGACCTTGGCTGCAGGGACCTGAAGTTTGTGCACGACACTCCGCCTCACAATGGTGAACATTTGTGCCAAGTTATATTGAAATCCCTCTATGCATGTGGAAGTTTTGCTCCGGACAAGCGTTTTTCAATGAGCTCCAAGTGTGACCTTGACCTTTGACCTAGAGACCTAGTTCATGTGCGTGACATGGCTTCTCATAATGGTGAACATTTCTATGAAATTTCATTAAAATCCCTCCATGCGTGTAGGAGATATGCTCCGGACAAAATCTGAATATTTCATCATCTTTAGTGACCTTGACCTTGTATATATTGACCTAAATTATATGTATCACAGCCATAGTCTTGATAATGACCATTTGTGTTACAATCCCTCAATAAATGATGACTAAATGGTCCATATACACATCTTCATATTTTTATCTGAACTTTGACCTCTATGTGTGACCTTGACCTTGGCCGCAAGGACTTGGATCTTGCGCGCGACCCTCCGCCTCACAATGGTGAACATTTGTGCCAAGTAATATTGAAATACCTCTATACATGTGGAAGTTTTGCTCCGGACAAGCATTTTTCAATGAGCTCTAAGTGTGACCTTGACCTTTGACCTAGAGACCTGGTTCATGTGCGCGACACTGCTCCTCATAGTGGTGAACATTTCTATGAAGTTTCATTAAAATCCCTCCATACATGTAGGAAATATGCTCCGGACAAAATTGGACGCCGAACGCCCGCCCGCCAGGGGCGTTCCCATAATACGTCCCGTTTTTCAATTAAATTAAGTATGGTTCAAATCAGAAAAACTTCAATCCTCAAGTCTTAACTTATACCAGTGATTATACTTACATATCTCAGAAAAAGACCTGCTAATTTATCTGGATCCTCAAGACATTTCTGAATCTCTTCTGAAAATGTTCTGAAAGTAATAAAACATTTCCATTACAGAAAATAAGATTTTTTGTGACACTTGCTGTCTTATTTGACTTGGTTCATAAAAACAAACTTGGTAGATATGAATCAAAATGGTGCCTTTATTCACGGATGCCCCCACACGCCACTGTTCTGTTAATCTTATAACTCTAGGTCAAATATTTTTTGGACTACATGTGCCACAAATTGAAAACTAAAAATCAACAAAGGGCCATAATTCTGTTAAATTTGGTCGCAGCAAAAATTCCTTCCTTAATTACCATCTACACATTAAGGTTGCTAATCCCTGGAAGTTTAAGCAAAATCTGCCATCCAGTTTAAGAGGAGTTGCGTTCACAAAATTTCTACATGGTATATTGTGAAAAAATCAACAAAGGGCCATAATTCTGTTAAATTTGGTCGCAGCGAAAATTCCTTCCTTTAGTACCATCTACACATTAAGGTTGTTCATCCCTGTAAGTTTAAGCAAAATCTGCCATCCGGTTTAAGAGGAGTTGCGTTCACAAGATTTCAGGACGGACGGACAGACAGACAAGTGCAACGCTATATGCTCCCACATTGTGGGGGCATAAAAAGTTGAGTGTCAATGATCTCAGTTTTTGAGTTATCTGCCCTTGAATTAGAATTATTTACTTATATGAGGTCATTTGAAGGGCAGATAAAATTTACATACATCTCTATAACATTGCTTTTACTTCTTGATTATAATATTTTTATTCTTGATCACAATACATATTAACATGCAATTCCTTTTTTTATTACAATTTTTCAGTTTGCATTAAGGGACTTAAAATTCTTTAAAAATAGGCCTTTTTTTAAGAAAATAAGGCGCAGGTTTAGAGAAGAAGAGGTTAAAAGCCAATCCACTCTATTTTTGCACATTGACTCAAGGTATTGTTGACCTTTATTGGGAATTATCGGTCCTTGAATTAAGCAAATAAGTCCAATTCAGGGAAAGATAACTAAAAAACGAGAACTTTGACCCCAATTTTTCCTCTTACTAGAATGTTGTTATTCTGGTTTATTCCATATACTCAACAACATATGCCACAGTTCAAAGAATATCTCATAATAGGATAACGGATTTTTAATTGCCTTACTGGTTATAAGTTGAAAAGAGTAGAATAGTCGAGTCTCTTCACACATATGTGCACTATACATAATCTCAGTGGTCGCGTCCGACTATATTAACTGAGTTGTTGCCATATGAATCACACATTCAGTGACAATGTATAGTAAGAGTAAATTTTTACTATAGGGTGAGTGACAATTGACTGAAAATAAGAAAAGTTCAATGTACATGTAAAATTGAGAGGAGTTGATGAGTGAGTCTGAGAAATCTATTTATATATGATTTGAGACATTTAATTTATCGCATAAACTCGACATTTATTCCACTCCAGGCACTGATCCAGATATAGAGTGCATATATAAGGAGAATATTTTGAATACCATAGACTATTTCTGAATAAATAATATCTTTGAATAAATATTATATTCACTATATAACTTATGCATGTTTGTGTCACATATCAAAATCTCACTATGCTGGACGGTATAGAGATCTTCACAAATATTACTGTCATATATATAAACTGTAACGAGTCTTAAGCAAGTGTTTTCCAACCAAAACTGTAAAATCAGATCTTTACCAAATACTGAGAGTGATATAAGATATTAGTAGAGCTATTGCTCACTTATCACATTGATAAATCAGTAGGGTAATTGTCCTTTTGTGTAATTGAAAGCAAAGCTTTGTTGTTGTTAATGAAATGTGTGAACCTTGGTCTTGAAGAGCATCGGATATACTAGAGATTAAGATCAGGTAGATTTCTTTCAAATTCTTTGTGTATTACATTCCACTCTCTATCAGCATCAGTTCTCATAGATTTTCGATAGTATTGACACGAATATATAATCTTTACGCAAGGAGCTAATATTAGCTCACTTTATCACATTCATCTCTATGCATATAATGTGACTCTCTGCTAAATGGAATTTCTATTGTAATCTCGTATTAACACATCAATAACGAGAATAAAATGTATTATCATATTTCATATCGCAAAGACTAAAACATTACAAATGATCCAAAGTGAATAAATGGCGGCCAAATAATCTACTTAACTTTGGGTGATAATATGGGCACTCCTAATAGGTCTGAGACATATCACTCGAGAAATAATTAACCAACATGAACATGAAGGATAAATGGGGACACAGCTCTATATCTCTTTAACTTTGGTAGAGTGAGAGGAAGTTATTAGCATGTATTATATTTTATACCAAACTCACTCTAACAGGTCTCTAAGCCTTGTATACTTTCTTCTTCCACAGAAGTATTTATTTATACTATATATATAACAATAGTTGGAAAACACATTACCCGACAGAAATTTTATTATGTATCACCAGGGTCATAATTTGAACAATATGAAAGTCTTTAAGCGAATTTGGAACCGGATGTGAGGTCCTGTGATTAATATCATATACCTGGTAAAGTATCAAAGATTTCCCCCCTCTTGGGTAGGACCCCTTGTACTTTCCATAACAAGAAGGTTTTTTAAGTTTTTAAACTCCTTTTCTAGCCCTGTGACCTACTTATGCAACAGACCAGAACCATTTGAACAACTTTGGCAGGGGACTACCCAAGGATCATTCCTGTAAAATTTGGTTACTGTGCAGTCATTGGTTTTTGAGGAGATGTTGTTTAAAGAAATTGTTGACAATGCAGGACAATGGACGGTGGGGATCACTATGAGCACGTTGTGCTCAGGTGAGCTAAACAGGGAGATAACTAAGTAAACAAGAGCCCGGTTTGAGCCGGGTGATGCTCCCCGAATAGGTTTTGGACACAGGAAAGTACATCTCTTGTAGTTTCAGAGTTATGTCCCTGGAAAAAGTTCAAAGTGCAATAATTCCAAAATTAGGAAAAGCAGAGTTACTGTTCTTTGCACTGAACTTCTAATCACTGTTATCTATCAACTTACAAAGTTTCTTGTTGATATCTCTTATGGTTTCCAAGTTATGTTCCGGACAACTTCAAAAAGTAAAAATAAACAAATGGCAATAACTCCAGAATTAGGCAAGGCAGAGTTATGATTCTCATGCACTGCACATCTACCCATTGAGATACATCTACCTACAAAGTTTCATGTTGATATCTCTTATAGTTTTACAGATATGTCCAGTACAAGATTTTTCTAAAAGGGGAGATTATTAAAAAATGAGGCTTAACAGAGTTATGGTTTTTTGCACTGCATTTCTACTCAATGAGATCTATCTACCTACAATGTTTCATCTTGATATCTCTTATAATTTTAGAGTTATGTTCCAGACAAAGTTCAGTGTTAAAATTAACAAAAGGCAATAACTCCAAAATTAGGACAAAAAGAGTTATTGTTCTTATGCACTGCACATCTACCCATTGAGATCTATTCACCTACAAAGTTTCATGTTGATATCTCTTATAGTTTTAGAGTTATGCCCCGGACAAGATTTTCCATAAGGGGAAATAATTCAAAAATAAGGCTTAACAGAGTTTTGGTTCTTTTGCACTGCACTTCTACTCAATGAGATCTATCTACCTACAATGTTTCATCTTGATATCTCTTATAGTTTTAGAGTTATGTTCCAGACAAAGTTCAAAGTGTTGAAATTAACAAAGGGCAATAACTCAAAAATTAGGACAAAAAGAGTTATTGTTCTTATGCACTGCACATCTACCCATTGAGATCTATTCACCTACAAAGTTTCATGTTGATATCTCTTATAGTTTTAGAGTTATGCCCCGGACAAGATTTTTCTATAAGGGGAGATAATTCAAAAACCAGGCAAAATAGAGTTATGGTTCTTTGACACTGCACTCCCCCTCAATGCCCTCTACCACTGTATGAAGTTTAAACAAATTATCTCCAAGGGTTTTCAAGTTATGCTCCGGACAATAAAACGGACGGACAGACGGACGGACAGACGGACAAGGCGCCGACTATATGCTCCCCCGAAATTTTTCGGGGAGCATAAAAACAAGAATGTCGAACGACACATATACCCCCCTTTCTAGCCATTGACTCACATAATTGGTAATTTTATTACAGAAACTTGCCAAAAATGGGTTCATGGAAGTGTTCAATTATGGAAAAGATAAAAATAATGAAGACTTTGTGATGAATAGTTTAAAAGATAATGAGATATTTAAGGCCCCTGTGACCTAGAACTTTGAACTAGTGACCCAAAATCAATAGGGGTCATCTAATAGGTATTACCAATCAATACTACAAATATGAAGACTTTGTGATAAATAGTTTTCAAGATACTAAGCGGAAACCAAACTGACATTCAAGAACCCTGTGAGCTTTATCTTTGACTTACTCACCCCAAAATCAATAGGTTCACTTATTGTGATAAAAAATCTTCAAGATAATATGCGGAAACCATTCTGACACTTAAGGCTCTGTGACCTTTGATCTAGTGACCCCAAAAGCAATACGGATTATCTGTTGGTTATGACCATTCACTTCGTGAAATATGTAGACTTTGTGATAAATAGTAACCAACATAATAAGCGGAAATAATATTACCAGTCAAGGATTCTGTGATCTTGATGTTTAATCTAATGACCCCAATATCAATAGGGGTCATCTACCACTTACGATCAATCAATATGTGAAATATGAAGACTTTGTGATTAATACTTTTCAAGATAATCAGCAGAAACCATTCTGACATTTAAGGCCCTGTGACCTTGATCTTTGACTTAGTGATCCCAAAATCAATAGGGTTTATTAACTAGTAATGACAAATAACTATGTGAAATATGAAGACTTTGTGATGAATACTTTTGAAGATAATCAGCTGAAACCATTTGACATTTAAAGCCCCTGTGACCTTGAACTTTGACCTGATGACCTCTAAATCAATAGGGGTCATCTACTAGTTATAACCAAATACTAGGTGAAATATGAAGACTTTGTGATGAATACTTTTCAAGATAATCAGCGGAAACCATTTTGACATTTAATGCCCCTGTGACCTTGACCTTTGACCTAGTGACCCCAAAATCAATAGGGGTCATCTTCTAGTTATGACCAATCACTATGTGAAATATGAAGACTTTGTGATAAATACTTTTCAAGATAATCAGCGGAAACCATTTTGACATTTAAGGCCCCTGTGACCTTGACCTTTGACCTAGTGACCCCAAAATCAATAGGGGTCATCTACTAGTTATGACCAATCACTATGTGAAATATGAAGACTTTGTGATAAATACTTTTCAAGATAATCAGCGGAAACCATTTTGACATTTAAGGCCCCTGTGACCTTGACCTTTGACCTAGTGACCCCAAAATCAATAGGGGTCATCTACTAGTTATGACCAATTACTATGTGAAATATGAAGACTTTGTGATAAATACTTTTCAAGATAATCAGCGGAAACCATTTTGACATTTAAGGCCCATGTGACCTTGACCTTTGACCTAATGACCTCTTAATCAATAGGGGTCATCTACTAGTTATAACCATCATACTAGGTGAAATATGAAGACTTTGTGATGAATACTTTTCAACATAATCAGCAGAAACCATTTTGACATTTAAGGCCCCTGTGACCTTGACCTTTGACCTAGTGACCCCAAAATCAATAGGGGTCATCTACTAGTTATGACCAATCAGTATGTGAAATATGAAGACTTTGTGATAAATAGTTTTCAAGATAATCAGCGGAAACCATTCTGACATTTAAGGCCCCTGTGACCTTGACCTTTGACCTAGTGACCCCAAAATCAATAGGGGTCATCTACTAGTTATGACCAATCACTATGTGAAATATGAAGACTTTGTGATGAATAGTTTTCAAGATAATCAGCGGAAACCATTCTGACATTTAAGGCCCCTGTGACCTTGACCTTTGACCTAGTGACCCCAAAATCAATAGGGGTCATCTACTAGTTATGACCAATCACTATGTGAAATATGAAGACTTTGTGATAAATAGTTTTCAAGATAATCAGCGGAAACCATTCTGACATTTAAGGCCCCTGTGACCTTGACCTTTGACCTAATGACCCTTAAATCAATAGGGGTCATCTACTCTACTAATTATAACCAAATACTATGTGAAATATGAAGACTTTGTGATGAATAGTTTTCAAGATAATCAGCGGAAACCATTCTGACATTTAAGGCCCCTGTGACCTTGACCTTTGACCTAGTGACCCCAAAATCAATAGGGGTCATCTACTAGTTATGACTAATCACTATGTGAAATATGAAGACTTTGTGATAAATAGTTTTCAAGATAATCAGCGGAAACCATTCTGACATTTAAGGCCCCTGTGACCTTGACCTTTGACCTAGTGACCCCAAAATCAATAGGGGTCATCTACTAGTTGTGACCAATTACTAAGTGAAATATGAAGACTTTGTGATAAATACTTTTCAAGATAATCAGCGGAAACCATTTTGACATTTAAGGCCCCTGTGACCGTGACCTTTGACCTAGTGACCCCAAAATCAATAGGGGTCATCTACTAGTTATGACCAATTACTAAGTGAAATATAACAACTTTGGGATGAATACTTTTCAAAATAATCAGTGGAAACCATTTTGACATTTAAGGCCCATGTGACCTTGATCTTTAAACAAATGACCTCAAAATCAATAGGGGTCATCTAATAGTTATAACCAAATACTAGGTGAAATATGAAGACTTTGTGATGAATACTTTTCAGAGATAATCAGCGGAAACCATTCTGACAATAAGGCCCCTGTGACCTTGACATGTAAGTTAGTGACCAAAAATCAATAGGGGTCATCTACTAGTTATGACCAATCACTATATGAAATATGATGACTTTGTGACCAATACATTTCAAGATAATCAGCAGAAACCATTTTGACATTTAAGGCCCTTTGACCTTCACCATTGACCTAGTTACCCCAATATCAATAGGGGTCTCTAATAGTTATGACCAATCACTATGTGAAATATGAAGACTTTGTGATAAATACTTTTCAAGATAATCAGCGGAAACCATTTTGACATTTAAGGCCCCTGTGACCTTGACCTTTGACCTAGTGACCCCAAAATCAATAGGGGTCATCTACTAGTTATGACCAATCACTATGTGAAATATGAAGACTTTGTGATAAATACTTTTCAAGATAATCAGCGGAAACCATTTTGACATTTAAGGCCCCTGTGACCTTGACCTTTGACCTAGTGACCCCAAAATCAATAGGGGTCATCTACTAGTTATGACCAATCACTGTGTGAAATATGAAGACTTTGTGATAAATACTTTTCAAGATAATCAGCGGAAACCATTTTGACATTTAAGGCCCCTGTGACCTTGACCTTTGACCTAGTGACCCCAAAATCAATAGGGGTCATCTACTAGTTATGACCAATCACTATGTGAAATATGAAGACTTTGTGATAAATACTTTTCAAGATAATCAGCGGAAACCATGTGGTCTACAGACGGACAGACCGACGGACCGACAGACAGACCGACATTAGCAAAACAATATACCCCCTCTTCTTCGAAGGGGGGCATAATAAATCTAGACTACTGAAGCCAATTTGAATAAAAATGGACTAAATAATGCCAAACTACCTATGAGAGTTATCAAACTTAAAACACACAGTTGCATTGTGATATTGCATTGATATTTCAAGTTCAAGTTAATATCTCAACTGGTCCCTAAGATGGGAAGGGACATATAATTTGTCCGAAGGACAGCTAAATTCCCTTCCGCAGTGAACATTAATGTGTGCTTCTTGACCTTTTACCAATCATGACCTTGATGCTGTGTCATGCTTATCATAAGCACATATTCTCACAATGGTGATTATTTGTCCCAAGTTATTTAAAATCTTCCATGAAGTCAAAAGGTTATGGAGAACATAAAACCTTGACCTTGAGTGTAGCAACCTGGATGTTGCGCTCTGCAGATTGTGTCATGGTGGGGGTCATTTGTGCCAAGTAATTTTAAAACCTTTAAATTGTCAATAAGTTATAGAGCTGACATGACATGAATAGATGTTTTTACATTGGATCTTTGAGTGTGACCCTGACCTTCCGGGTTGTGATTTGATTATTGTGCTTTGCCAATGGTGTCACAATAGTGAACGTTTCTGCCAAGTTATCATAAAAAAACTCATAAAAAAAAGGTTTAAATGTTATGAACAGACAAGAAATGTAGACTTTCTAACATTTGACCTGTAAGTGTGTCCTTGACCTTGGGGGTAGCAATACAATTATTACGCTCTGCACATCGTCTCGTAATGGTGATCACTTGTGCCAAGCTTTTTAAAAAAATTTCACAGGTTTAAAAGTTATGGAGGGGACACAAAATACATTTGACCTTTAAGTGTGACCTTGACCTTGGGGGTAGCAACCCTATTATTGCCCTTTGCACTTGTTGCTATAATGGTGATGAATTGTGTCAAGTTATTTTTTTTTAAAAATCAGCGGTTAAAAAGTTATGGAGCGGACACTAAATGTAGACATTTAACATTCGACCTTAAAGTGTGACCTAGACCTTTTGGGTAGCAACCCAATTATTGCCCTCTGCAGGTCGTCTTATAATGGTGATCAGTTGTGCCAAGTTATTTTAAAAAGTTTTCAGCGGTTTAAAAGTTATGGAGCAGAAACGAAAGTGTTACAGACGGGTAATCGGTTCCTCGGGAACGAGCCTTGGCGAGTTCCCGATGGAACAGATTGCACGAGGGTTGGGATTTCTCTATCCTCTGTCTAACCCAATGATTGATTATTTTTCTCACTCACTTGGACACAATAAATATCATGAAACTAGATCTACTTGCTACGCCCTAGTTTTGAAAAGCGGGGCGGGGCTTAAGCTTCTGACGTACATCCGCAAAAGATTCTACTGACCAAGTTTATGTGTGAAAAATTCAATGAAAATGAATTCATATGAGATCCCTCATCAAAACGTAAGGTTATCATGATAAAACACATCAATATTAAAGTCGGAAAGTGTCATAATATAAGTGTTTATTAGGAATTCAGTCCATACTTAAATGGTTGCCAAAAAGCGTTTACTGTTTGCAAAGATTTTTCTACTTTTTCGGTTATTTTGGCCGAATATTCTATTAAAATATTTCAAAATGAGATTCGTCATCAAAAAGCATCGTTATCCATAACAGAAAACATGGATGTTCTTCAGGCAAAGTGTCATAATATCCGATTTTACGAAGAATTTTGCGATATTTTAAAGTGTGCTATTTTTAGTAACAGATCGTTATTGACAAGGGCGGACCTAGGTAGAGTAGGACTCATTGCAGTGTGAAAGTTAATATCAATCTATTTTGATTCCGTGAACAATTTAATAGATAAGCTCACATATTTTTAATACATTTTGTCGTTTTGACGTTTCATTTTTGTTTAAATAGGAGTGAAGCGCGTATGTGTAGGAATACGTTTTTAGAAGTGCTGCACGTTGAGTGTGAGATAAGCCCATGTGAGTTAAGATTTTCCAACACCGCTATTTTTAGTAACATTTATGGATTTTTGTATCTGGTTAGTGAGAAATGTAGTTAACAACATACCTCTACCACACATCCTATATCTTTTACATAATCTTGTTCTGTTTCTACCAGCTCTGTTATAACATATCTGTAAATAAAATAACAAAAGCATGGCATATATTTATTGTGTAATACAGTAACTGGTTAGATTGTAATTGATATCAGATGTTGTTTGATACTTAACTATAGTATTTTAATAATCTAAGGTATATAATAGGAGTGAAAACAAAGTTGTTATCTTTTACTTATAATGATACAATAAATAGCTGTACCACGTGGGAAACTAAAGGGACATCACAAGGACATTGTGTAATGCCATTTAGTAATTTATTTCAAGTGTAACTTAAAACTACAATTATAGGATTCATGTGCAGTGAAGATTGCCTATTTACCAGGAATGAACATCATTGAAATATTAACTTTAATTTTATTTTGCAATGGTAAAAACAGTACAGTTACAAACATTTTTATAGACATGTTGTTTTTTCCCCCCAACACTATAGTACAAATATTGGATCTTATAAAAGGCTTCTTTGCTGTATTCTTCTATACTAATTTATACAAGATTCACCTGAATGGTATCCTGTAAAATGCTGCAAGTTAATATCAATTAATATGTTCTGAAAATTTCAAAGTTAGCATGACCTACTGTCATGTAAATAAAAGTCACATTGTATGTTTGTAAATTGTGAATACAACAGCAAAGAGTGCCCCCACAGGTAACCTAGACCTTTAATCAACTAAATTAAAAATCAATTCTGGGTCATCTGTTAGACATGACCTGGCTAAATGCCAAATTTGAAGCAGTTATGAGTTGAGCATATTTTATGTGATGACTACAGTGACCTTGACCTTTGACAGAATGACCTTAAAATCAGTTGGATTCATTTACTAGTCATGAGCAACCTCCATAACTGTAGACCCTTGTAATTTCAGAAAAGGTTTTTTGTTTGTTTTTTTACTATGCACATAAAGATAAAACTTATGACCCCAAGATAAATTTGATCAATCTTGGTAGAGGTCAGAAATGAAACATGTGCATGATCTGGTCTAGAATGTGTAAGCTACATGTTTATGTATGATAATGTGAGAAGACATCTTAAATAGAGGATATTGAATGAGTGTAAGTTTAATACTGAATTTATTGAACAAGATGAATAAAATTATTTTATGCGAGCCTCTGGTGAGCATAATATTATTTAATTGAACAAGTTCAATAAATGTAGTATTAAACTTACACAAATTTAATATTGTATTTATCACATTCCAAAAACAAAGACCGTTTGAAGTAATATATAAAGAACCATTTTTCACTGACACACGTACATTTAGCGCGTCTTGACGTCTATACTTATAATGTTTATATAACGAAAATGACGTCACACCAAAATATATGCACGGCCGTGCAATACCATTTTTACGGAGTTAAAAAATGTGGCATGGGTATGTGTTAAATATCATATAATTCATAGACTTACTTTCTTTTCTGGAGATATTTTTCTTTTTCTGTCTCTTTGTCTTCCTCTCCTCCAGAATCTGAGCCTTGACCTGTGTCTGGTGGTGGATCCTATATAATTATACAAATATACTCTTATTGCATTAAACTATTTTACATAGGTTTTGTCACATGTCAACTATCAATATGGCACCATATCTTTGGTTTACTTACAAAAATATTTAATGAACTTTATCTAAATATAAAACCATGTGTATCCTGATGGATGGGGCCAATTTTCTGCCCAGGGGCATGGTCTTTAAAATATATGTAGAGGTCAAACTAAGCTTAGTCTAATGTTGTATGTCAAATAACTAAACAAAAGGCCATATTGTTTTGACAAGAAAATGTTTTCTTTCTTATGATCTTGATCTGAGAATCGCTTGGATTATTCAGTTCAACTGTGAAATTTTTATTAAATTTTTGATGTTTTCTTTAAGAATTCTCTACAACAATGTTTTTCCTCCAATGTGTTTGCCTTTTATTGGTCAAGTGTGTTGGTCAAGAAGAATGATATCAAAAGTTTTAAAGTTATCAACATTAAACTTGGAAAACATGATTATCATAATAATTCTACTATATGTTTATTATGAAAATCTATGACCCTCGCGGCAGGGCCAATTTTGACCCCAGGGCTACAATTTGAGAACAAGTGGTTGAGGTCCACTACACAATGTTTAATATCAAAGGAGAAGGTTTTTAATATATACATATAAGCAAAAGCTATGACATCCCCAGATGGGGGAATTTTAAAACTAAAGGCATAATTTTGAACAATTTTGATAAAGGTCTACAAGACAATGTTTCATGCTAAATATCTTATTTCTAGCCATTTTAATTTAAGTTTTTACTATATATACATAATGAAGATCAATGACCTTAGTTTGACCCCAGAGCTATAATTTGAACAACCTTGGTGAAAGTTAAAATATCTAAGCTCTAGCCTTAGCCATTTCAGGAAAGATTTTTTTATGGTTTTATATCATAAATATAATGCTCAAATGAAGGTTTATCAATATTGTAAGTTAGATGTAAAGATATTACCGAATTTACATTTCATGTTAATAAAGGGAGGTAATTAGAAATTTATTTTCTATAAAGTCGAAGTCAAATTTTTCAATAAGAAATGAATGCATATATTTTAATGATTACATATAATGTGGACAAATATTTGCAGTACATACTTTACATATTCTTCGATGTTTGAAAATTGTTTTAGAGGCATAATTATATACTTATATAAAATTTCACTTAAGTGTGGTAACAACCTTAATTACAACATACAGGATCTTACTGAAAAGGCAAAAAATGCCTAATCTGACATTTGTTGGTTCAAAAACAAAAACTCTCAAAAAGCATGAGAAGGTCTGGACCTTTCAAAGAAGGAATAGAAATCTACTGATATACAAGTTTGGTTAAAATAAATAATATAAACACACACAGATGATAAAATGGTTTGGTCTTTTATTGTCATCTTTAACAAGCACACTTTTGCACTGAAAATAATGACTAAAAAGCAAAATGGAAAGTTTAAGCCTTTATTTTTCAGAAGTGTTTTATTTGTTATGCAACAAATAGTATTTCATATAGGCAGGTCACCAGCATCTCTGATTTTCATCAATGTCTATATATACTATTGACAGGTTCCAGAGAAAAACTGGCATGTCACACAAGGCTACAACATTTCAATATATATATCACAAAAGAACAAAACAAAACAACAGCACCATATGCTCGTCTAAAGGGTTACAACTATCAATAACAAATTTTCATAAATATTATAAGTTGAAAAGGGACATAACTCCTGAAAGTATTGCTTTCAAAATAATGTCCTGTGCCTTGTCATGATAATCAAGTATTACAATAGCTTTGATACTTTTTATGACAAAATTTTCAATTAAAAAGGGGCGAAACTTCAAAATATAGCTTTCAGAAAAATGCCACTTGTCTTTCAAACATCATGACAAACGAGTATTTCAAGATTCATGTTGTTATCTTCCATACTATTGAAAACAACTGCTTAATAGGCAATTTTGACCAAAAATACTAAGTTAAACAAGGGTGCCATAGTCACAAAATACGCCCGTTTACGAAAACTTTAGATGGAGATGGGGGCATTATGGATAAGTGTTATCTAGCAAGCAAGTTTTTATCCTTGGCACTGTGTTGTTAAATGAACCTTAAAACAAATCAGTAGGGAAGATAAAAAGTACATGTAATTGTAATTTAATAACTAAAAAATTCTGATTTAAGATTTTATTCTAGGGAAATACATTTCATTACAATTCTTAATTTTTGAATGAGCTGAACTGATATTTACTTGAAAATTAAAATATAATTAAATTTCTATGGGAAAGTATTTACATTTGATAAGGTAATTACTGTATGATCTTTATGAACAAATACCAAGTCTACAGAACACCATAGTTATCACAGTTAAGAATCTTGACCAATGAATGAAACATGTGTAAATAAATGTTACATTCTTTAGAACATACTCAAGTCCAAGAAAGAGGATTATTTTATGCCCTTTGATTAAATTCTATTTTTAGAATTGAAAGTGAAAGTAGATCAAGGGGAGTAATTGTGTAAGTCATTTATGAACAAAGTAATAACTTTGTTGTCGCCCTTTGATTAAATTCTATTTACAAAATCTGGATATTTCATCATCTTAAGTGACCTTGACCTTGTATATATTGACCTAAATTATATGTATCACAGCCATAGTCTTGATAATGACCATTTGTGTTACAATCCCTCAATAAATGATGACTAAATGGTCCATATACACATCTTCATATTTTTATCTGAACTTTGACCTCTATGTGTGACCTTGACCTTGGCCGCAAGGACCTGAATCTTGTACGCGACACTCCGCCTCACAATGGTGAACATTTGTGCCAAGTAATATTGAAATCCCTCTATACATGTGGAAGTTTTGCTCCGGACAAGCATTTTTCAATGACCTCTAAGTGTGACCTTGACCTTTGACCTAGAGACCTGGTTCATGTGCGCGAAACTGCTCCTCATAGTGGTGAACATTTCTATGAAGTTTCATTAAAATCCCTCCATACATGTAGGAGATATGCTCCGGACAAAATTGGACGCCGCCCGCCCGACCGCCCGACCACCCGCCCGCCAGGGGCGTTCCCATAATACGTCCCGTTTTTCAAACGGGCGTATAAAAAGGACATCATTTTAGGATATTGCACCATATTTCACAACTGTGCTTTGTCATAATCATCAAGTGTTCCAAGTTTCAGTTGATATCTTTCTTGAAATCATTTACCTTTATGTTAGTGATTTTGGCAAAAAGTCAAAATGTTAAAAAGGGGGCAATAGTCCAAATATAAAGATTTCAGAATCCCCTTGTCTTAAGCACAAGTGACTTACAAAGATAACAAGGGTGCCATAGTCACAAAATACGCCCGTTTACGAAAAAGCTTTAGATGGAGATGGGGGCATTATGGATAAGTGTTATCTAGCAAGCAAGTTTTTATTCTTGGCACTGTGTTGTTAAATGAACCTTAAAACAAATCAATAGGGAAGATATGCACAGAATGTGTGACCTTGACCTTGGTCGCAGGGACCTGAATTTTATGCACGGCACTCAGCCTCACAATGATGAACATTTGTGCCAAATTATATTGAAATCCCTCTATGCATGTAGAAGTTTTGCTCCAGACAAGTGTTTTTCTATGAGCTCTAACTGTGACCTTCACCTTTGACCTAGAGACTTGGTTTATGTGCAGGGCACTACGTCTCATGGTGGTGAACAATTCTATAAAAGTAACATTAAAATTCCTCCATGCATGTAGAAAATATGCTCCGGACAACATCTGGATATTTAATCATCTCCAGTGACCTTGACCTTGCAAATATTAACCTAAATTAAATGTGTAACACCTGTAGTCATGATAGTTACCATTTGTGCTACAATCCATCAATAAATGATGACTAAATGGTCCCTATAACCATCTTCAAATTTTTATCTGAACTTTGACCTCTATGTGTAACCTTGACTTTGGTCGCAGGGATCTGAATTTTGCATGCTACACTCAGCCTCACAATGGTGAACATTTGTGCCAAGTTATATTGAAAACCCCCTATGAATGTAGAAGTTTTGCTCCGGACAAGCGTTTTTCAATGAGCTCTAAGTGTGACCTTGACCTTTGACCTTTGACCTGGATCATGCATGGAGCAATACATATCATGGTGGTGAACATTTCCATAAAGTATTATAAAAATTCTTCCATACATGTAGGAGATATGCTCCAGACAAAATCTGGATATTTCACCATCTTTAGTGACCTTGACCTTGCATATATTGACCTAAAGTACATGTGTCACAGCCGTAGTAATTATAATGACCATTTGTGTTACAATCCCTCAATAAATGATGATTAAATCGTCCCTATACACATCTTCATATTTTTATCTTTTTTTAAACGGGCGTATAAAAAGTACAAGTAATTTAATAACTAAAAAATTCTGATTTAAGATTTTATTCTAGGGAAATACATTTCATTACAATTCTTAATCTTTGATTGAGCTGAACTGATATTTACTTGAAAATTAAAATATAATTAAATTTCTATGAGAAAGTATTTACATTTGATAAGGTAATTACTGTATGATCTTTATGAACAAATACCAAGTCTACAGAACACCATAGTTATCACAGTGAAGAATCTTGACCAATGAATGAAACATGTGTAAATAAATGTTACATTCTTTAGAACATACTCAAGTCCAAGAAAGCGGATTATTTCATGCCCTTTGATTAAATTCTATTTTTAGAATTGAAAGTGAAAATGTAGGATACATGTAGGAGATATGCTCCGGACAAAATTGGACGCCGCCCGCCCGCCCGACCACCCGCCCGCCAGGGGCGTTCCCATAATACGTCCCGTTTTTCAAACGGGCGTATAAAAAGGATTTTACAAGTTTGATGTTGATACCTTTTACAGTTTTGAAATTAGTCTACTAAATATGTGATCTTAACAAAAAAATTGTAAAAGTTAAAAAGGGGTATAACCCCCCAAAAACATAGCTTTCCAAATAATGCCCCTTGTCTATCACCTGCCTCTTGTCAAGATATATCAAACCTTTATAATTGTTTGTGTAATTGACTACATTAAACATGACAACAACATTGACTTGAAACAGACAGCTAATAAAAAAAATTAAATAATATAAATGAACATGCATGATTTTTACAATAACAATTTATTTACAGCTCTCAGTCACTGTACTGTTAATTTCACATGAGATTTTACTACTGGTTAGTTTATCTGTAAACAAAAACACACCATAATACAACAATCATGCAGGAAATATTTCATAAATATCTACTCAAATTATGCTTTATTCTGGAACTATCCAATATATAAATAAAAACAATCATGCTTGATGGGTTGCCATGGCAATAAATTCTCACCATTTTCAATTTAACCAGATTTTCTATTTCAGTTGCTAGGTCAACTGAATTTTCTTGCTGAGGTTTCAATGATAATGTTGAGGCCTGAAATTTCAGGTAAAAAAAGGTATACAAGATTTCAATTCAAAATCAAAATAATTTTAAACAAAAGTCATAGAATTAGTTGTTACATATATATAAATGACTGATATCAATCTCCTATTCATGGAGACATCAGATCAGAATTTTGTTTGATTTTCCAGTAGTTCAACAAGCAAATCTGGATTGCTCCCCTGACTACCATGGTTAATGTCATCTTAGTTATAAGTTAAACATGTCTTACCCTTCCAATGCTAAATATCATGAATGTTCATCATTAATTCTGGACAAATCATTCATCATTTTTATTAATGTAACTATTGACGGAATAGCCAATGGTGCAGACTATGATCAGATGGCAGACCTTTGTCCTCAGATCATTTGTGCACTTCATTTTTCCGGAATAATTATTCGTATTGTAAAAAAATGACCCAAAAATGAAAAGCGTTTAAACGCTTTTCACTCAAATCGGGCTAATAAAAGCATATAAATACGATTTTCAATTTATTTTAAAGTATATTTCTTAACTATCTTTGCATATATTTCTGTTTAAAGTGCCCCAGCTCATTAATGTAAGAAATTCAAATGTTATGTGTTTACAATTTTAAACCTCAGTGGAGTCACTTTTATTTTTGTTGCATTACAGTATAATAATGCACTATTTATTGCACAGCTTTGTAATTAATCACTCAGGCCTATTGACCTTATATTCCTCGCATCTGAACCTGACATGCATTATAGAACAAATATGCACTAAAAATTGATATCTATTTTCTCAACAGGCAAACATCAACTCTAGCTGTCACAGACAACCATCAACTTGAGCTGTAACAAACAATCATCAACTCTAGCTGGAACAGACAGCCATCAACTCTAGCTGTAACAGACAATCATCAACTTTAGCTGTAACAAACAATCATCAACTCTAGCTGTAACATACAACCATCAACTCTAGCTGTAACAGACAATCATCAACTCTAGCTGGAACAGACAGCCATCAACTCTAGCTGTAACAGACAATCATCAACTTTAGCTGTCACAGACAATCATCATCTCTAGCTGTAACAGACAATCATCAACTTTAGCTGTAACAGACAATCATCAACTCTAGCTGGAACAGACAGCCATCAACTCTAGCTGTAACAGACAATCATCAACTTTAGCTGTAACAGACACTCATCAACTCTAACTGTAACAGACAACCATCAACTCTAGCTGTAACATACAATCAATCATCAACTCTAGCTGTAACAGACAGCCATCATCTCTAGCTGTAACAGACAACCATCAACTCTAGCTGTAACAGACAACCATCAACTCTAGCTGTAACATACAACCATCAACTCTAGCTGTTACAGACAATCATCAACTTAAGCTGTAACAGACAATCATCAACTCTAGCTGTAACAGACAATCATCAACTCTAGCTGTAACAGACAATCATCAACTCTAGCTGTAACAGACAACCATCAACTCTAGCTGTAACAAACAACCAACAACTCAAGCTGTAACAGATAACCATTATCTCTATTGCTGACATATATAAACTCTAGCTGTAACAGACAATCATCAACTCTAGCTGTAACAGACAACCATCAACTCTAGCTGTAACAAACAACCAACAACTCTAGCTGTAACAGATAACCATTATCTCTATTGCTGACATATATAAACTCTAGCTGTAACAGACAATCATCAACTCTAGCTGTAACAGACAACCATCAACTCTAGCTGTAACAGACAACCATCAACTTTAGCTGTAACAGACAACCATCATCTTCAAGCTGATACAGACAATCATCAACTCTAGCTGTAACAGACAACCATCATCTCTAGCTGTAACAAACAACCATGAACTCTAGCAAAATAGACAACCATCAACGCTAACTATTGCTGACATATATAAACTCTAGCTGTAACAGACAACCATCAACTTTAGCTGTCACAGACAACCATCATCTCTATCTCTAACAGACAATCATCAACTCCAGCTGTAACAGACAACCATCAACTCCAGCTGTAACAGACAATCATCAACTCTAGCTGTAACAGACAATCAGACAATCATCAACTCTAGCTGTAACAAACAACTATCAACTCTAGCTGTAACAGACAACCATCACTTTTAGCTGTAACAGACAATCATCAAACTCTAGCTGGAACAGACAACCATCAACTTTAGCTGTAAAAGACAATCATCAACTCTAGCTGTAACAGACAACCATCAACTCTAGCTGTAACAGACAATCATCAACTCTAGCTGTAACAAACAATCATCAACTCTAGCTGTAACAGACAATCATCAACTCTAGCTGTAACAAACAACCATCAACTCTAGCTGTAACAGACAATCATCAACTCTAGCTGTAACAGACAATCATCAACTTTAGCTGTAACAGACAATCATCACTTTTAGCTGTAACAGACAATCATCAACTTTAGCTGTAACAGACAACCATCAACTCTAGCTGTAACAGACAACCATCAACTTTAGCTGTAACAGACAATCATCACTTTTAGCTGTAACAGACAATCATCAACTTTAGCTGTAACAGACAACCATCATCTTCAAGCTGAAACAGACAATCATCAACTCTAGCTGTAACAAACAACCATCAACTAAAGCTGTAACAGACAATCATCAACTCTAGCTGCAACTCTAGCTGTAACAAACAACCATCAACTAAAGCTGTAACAGACAATCATCAACTCTAGCTGTAACAAACAACCATCATATCTAGCAAAACAGACAATCATCAACTCTAGCTGTAACAAACAACCATCATATCTAGCAAAACAGACAACCATCAACTCTAACTATTGCTGACATATATAAACTCTAGCTGTAACAGACAACCATCAACTTTAGCTGTAACAGACAACCATCATCTCTATCTCTAACAGACAATCATCAACTCAAGCTGTAACAGACAACCATCAACTTTAGCTGTAACTGACAACCATCAACTCTAACTGTAACAGACAATCATCAACTCTAGCTGGAACAGACAGTCATCATCTCTAGCTGTAACATACAACCATCAACTCTAGCTGTAACAAACAACTATCAACTCTAGCTGTAACAGACAACCATCAACTTTAGCTGTAACAAACAACCATCAACTCTAGCTGTAACAGACAACCGTCAAATTTAGCTGTAACAGACAATCATCAACTCTAGCTGTAACAGACAACCGTCGACTTTAGCTGTAACAGACAACCATCAACTCTAACTGTAACAGACAACCATCAACTCTAGCTGTAACAAACAACCATCATCCTAAGCTATAACAGACAACCATCAACACTAGCTGTAAAAGACAACCATCAACTCTAGCTGTAACAGACAACCATCAACTCTAGCTGTTACAAACAACCATCAACTCTAACTGTAACAGACAATCATCAACACTAGCTCTAGTGAGCTTAAAAAAAGTTTCTATAACATACAATCTGTACAGAAGTATTACATTATGACCTAAGTAACATCTTCCTTTCAAAATACATGATGACATAAGAAGGTCAGCACGAGTACTGTTACATAAGAATGAGCTACAAAAATCAGATAGTTCACTCAGAATAGACTTTATCTGGAACTAGGCAAATGTGGATTTTTCCAAGCTAATCTATAGGTACAAACTAACTTTTACTGTTATAGCTTAACGGTGCACTACCCTTCACAATTGATTAGTCAACCTGTTCGCTTATTTTTGAAGCTGTAACTGTAACAAGAGGGCCATAATGGCCCTTATATGGCTCACCTGACTATGAAGGCTCAATCCCATATTATTTGGGCTGTGTGACCTAGTTTTTCACCCAAGATAACCCATATTGGAACTTGACCTAGAAATCATTAAAACAACCTTTCTGACCATTTTCAAGGATATTTGGACTGAAAAAGTAGCCCCTAGAGTGTTTACATATAGGCTGTGTGACCTAGTTTTTGACCTAAGATGACCCATATATAAATCATCAAAACAATCTTCCTGACCAATTTCCAGAATATTTGGATAAAACTGCAGCCACTAGAGTGTTAACAAGATTTTTCTAATTTTAGCTCCAGGACCTGTGACCTAGTTTTTGACCCAAGATTACCCATATTCAAACCTGACCTAGAAATCATGAAAGCAACTTTTCTGACCAAATTCCAGGATATTTGGACTAAAACTGTAGCCTTTTCGAGTGTTAACAAGGTTTTTCTATATTTGGGCTGTGTGACCTAGTTTTTTACCCGAGATGATCCGAATTGAAACTTGACTTAGAAAATATCAAAACCACCTTCCTGACCAATTTCAAGAATATTCGGATCAAAACTGCAGCCACACAAGTGTCAACAAGATTTTTTCTATTTTAAGCTACTGTAACCTAGTTTTTTTTACCTGAGATGACCTATATTCTAACTTGAGCTAGAAATCATTAAAACAACCTTCTTGACCAATTTCCAGGATATTTGGATCAAAACTGCAGGTTTTTCTATATTTCAGCTGTGTGACCTAGTATTTGTCCTGAGATGACCCATATTCAAAATTGACCTAGAAATCATCAAAACAATCTTTATGGCCAATTTCCAGGATATTTGGCCTGTAACAGTAGCCCCTAGAGTGTTAAAAAGTTTTTTTCAATATTTAGGCTGTGCGACCTAGTTTTTGACCCGAGATGACTCATATTTGAACTTGACCTGGAAATCATCAAAACGACTTTCCTGACCAATTTCCAGAATATTTGGATCAAAACTGCAGCCACTATGGTGTCAACAAGATTTTTCTATGTTAAGCTCCTAAGACCTAGTTTTTAACTGGACATGGCCTATATTCCACCTTGACCTAGAAATCATCAAACAACCTTCCTGATCACTATTACAGGATATTTGGATCAAAACTGTAACCACAAGAGTGTTAACAAGATTTTTCTATTTTTAGCTTCTTTGACCTAGTTTTTGACCCGAGATGATCCATATTTGAACTTGATCTGTATTTCATTGAGACAAACATTCTGACAAAGTTTGTTTATGATCAAATCAAAACTGTGACTGCTAGAGTGTTAACAGCCCAAATGTTGATGACACACCGGACATAGCCCCATCACCTTACCTCACCTTGACCACTTCATGGTCAGGTGAGCTAAAAAGTTCTTTGTACCTATGTTATCAGCTGGGGAAAATACAAATATTCTTAATTCCCGAGTTAGTCTATTAAACAATGATGCTTAAAAAAACTATTTTTAATGTCAAATTTATCTGTACTTTATACTAACTATTTGACTTGATCTTTGTCTAGACCCTAGTATTTCAGTCATAGATTTTATGCAGATTTATTCATATATATACATTATGATTTATACAAAGTCTGAATACACTCAACAACTTGAATAGACCCTAGATACAATCTAATCCTCATTTACATATAACTCACAGCATCAATATTTTATATTACTTTTAAGTAAATGTATATATTGTAACTTCTAATCCACTACAAGAAGCTGAAATAACATGAGTGATTAGGATTCAAATTCACAGCAGTCAGATGAGTATGTGGTTTTAAGTTGGCCATAATAACAAGAATCTGCTATTGAGGCCCAATATCAAATGTCAGCAAATATATTCAGAGACAAAGTATGTTATTATAAAGGTACATGGCATTGTTTGGTTAAAAGAAAAGCTGTAATAATGACACAGAAGTTGTTGTTCATGGCTATAGTAGGCTGAAACTGTAAAACAACATAATATGTTATTATATTAAAGGTAGGGGTTTGGGTGTTGCATGTGACACGTCGTCCCATTATTGCCAAGTAATATCAAAATCCCTTGAATGATGAAACATTTTAGAATGAACACAAATCATACTGTATTGCAGACCATGTAAAGCTTTGACCTTCAAGTGTGAACTTGACCTTGAGGTAAAGGTAGTACTGGTATGGGTCTTGTGCATGACACATCCTCTTATTATTGTGAACATTTATGCCAAGTAATTTCAAAATCCCTTGCTGTATGAAAAAGTTAAAGACTGGACACAAAATATACTCTATAACACACCATGCTTAGCCTGGACCTCCAAATGGACCTTGACCTTGAAAAAAGGTGTCTATGTGTTGCTCATGACATGTTGTCTCATTATTGTGAACATTTGTGCCAAGCAATTTCAAAATCCCTTGAATAATAAAACATTATGTAACAATCACAAAATAAATTCTATAGCAAACCATGTTAAGCTTTTACCTCCAAGTGTGCTTTTGACCCTTGTATTGCGCATGACACATCCTCTTTAATTATTGTAAACATTTGTGCAAAGTAATATCAAAATCCCTTGATCTTTGACTAGACACAATATATACTCTATAATAGACCATGTAAAGAGTGATCTTGACCAGACATGAAAGTGTGACGGACAGAACCCATTTCTATAATTATCCTCTTTTTTCTTCAGAAAAACAAGGGACAATAATGCATAAAATTGATAAAATGCATGAATTACACATGGGGGGTGGGGGGTGGGTAACCAACAAACTTTTACAGTTATACAGATTCGAAAAGTGCAACAGGTTAACTGGTAGTGCACTGTGAAGCATTAACAGTAAAAGTTTGCTTTGATGGGGGTTGTAAAACCCACATAAGCCCAGTTCCGGATAACATCTTTTAAAATTGAATCACTTCAGATTTGCTCTCTTTAGATATATTAACATTAAATTTTGTTGATAATATATTTTGGGTAAAATATGAAGACAGTGACTGTGGCTATTTTTATAACAATTGATCAATTATCAGAAAGAATAGATAGCCTATTTTATATATTTGTTAAGTAAGCTATAAATAACACCTTATCTATCAATATTAAAAAACATGAGTGAACAAATATTACTTGTTCAGGTCCACAGTTTGATGTAAAATATCTCAATATTAAGAGAGTAAACGGTTGTGACCGTTTAATGAAAAAGAGATACTTCGTATTTCCAAATCTTAAATGTAGATTAAAAACAATAAGATTAAATTTGATATAAAATATGAAGTATTTCTTTTAACATTTAAGCTATCACGATCATTAATGTTGTAAAAATATGGTTCATAATATTAGTCTGTGTTGCATTTTGATAAATGACGGCAATAAATTAGACCCTCGAAATTCCTCAAAAGTTAACAATTTTATTGAATATGAGGATTGGAAACAATAATTAAATGCTTTGTAGGTTGAAATTTCCTTGAAATAGTCGCATTTTTGTCTTTTTGTCAACTTTAAGTTGAATTGCTGTCTTCTAGTTTTATTTATATCAGAATTATATAATACATTACAACAAGTTGAAAGTTTTGAGGCCAGACTGAATGCATCTCTGTCAGGTTACATTCAGACCATACACGATATATTAAAAAACTATGTTTAATTAATACTTATGTGCCTATGACTTTAAGGGTTGATAACTGCAAATCCTATAATTTTTCTGAAAGTGTGTTTTTGAGCACATACAACAGCAAATGTAATGCAGATTATAGATAGACTGTAAATATATTAAACAAAATTGAAATATTTTGTTTGATATATTTACAGTCTAACACTGCATTGGTATACACTGTAACTGAACAGTTATCAAGAAAGTTCAGTTTTACGAAAAGTCTGTAATTTGATAAGTAATGGTGATCTGGACCTTTGACATTTAAATGACCTAAAAAATCAACATGGGTCATATACTAGTAATTACCAACTGTCCCGCCAAACATAATGAAAGTAGGCTAAAGTGTTCTCCACTGAATTCATGCAGTCACTGTGGCCTTGACATATGTGAAATCAATTAGAATTTTCATCCATTTTGGGAATTTCTTTTTAATCTGGTCTTTATATACTTAGCAATTTGTTCCATTTTTTCATATTTGCATTGAGTTTAAAATTCTATTCAGCTGGAGTGGTATAATACTGATATGACAAACTATTTGTCACATTTATATACATGAGTAAATAGGACTATTTGTATGCATCTTGTAATAAAAACAAATATTAACATGATTATTTTCCTATAGCTAAATGAGATAATATGTCAATATACTTACAAATTTTTCTGATATATTATCGGCAGCATCATTTTTCCCTAGGTTTAACATATGGCTCTGATCCTGAACTGGCATGGGTGGGGGGATCTCAATGTCATCTGCTGGTTCAAGGGCATCTTCATTATCAAGGTTATGTTTCTGTGTAAACGTTGTCACATCTTGTGTAATTATCTGCTCCTCTACACTACTCTCAGGATTCTCCTGAAGTTAAATAAAATATGTTTACCATAAATACTGAATATCTACAGGCAGCATATATATGTGTTTCTGTCTTTAAACTTCATGTATTGTATAAAGGTTACTTTAATAATACAATAACTCATTGACAGTTTAAATGTAAATTTTCTGAAATTTAAACAATGCAGCATTTGTTTCAGGGCCCGGCTGTCAGATGGACCGGCCCTTCAGTAGTTTTGGAGATACCAACTTGCACACAAAAACTTCATGTCATGGTAACGCCATATAGAGTATAATAGCTCTCCATATTCTTTATAGTCAAGCCTGGTTTTGTTTGTTTGTTTCATTTTTTTTACGCCTTTTCCCAACAGTATTTCAGTCATATAGGCGGGTAGTTTCCTAACAATCGTTCCTGGAGAGTTACACCAGTACTAGACTACCTTCCTCCGTGCTAAACTACCAAAGCATCTCCCATAAATCAAACCCACGCCAGAGAGGTAACTGGATTAGAAGTCATCCACTCTAACCCCTTTGACCACGGAGGCGGTTAAAGTAGGAATTAACAAAAAATAAAATATCATTCAGAAAACTTACAGGACATACTTATGTGTCTTGGATATTGACCAAGCTCACTAACTTAATTCACAATTCATGTCGAGAGTTATGGCCTTGGACAGTGACCCCAACATGATCCTTGTATGTTTTAAGTAAAGTGAACCTAAGTAGATTTGAGCATTGATTGTTGTTGTAAAATTACATGAATAAGGGCCATATTTAGTAAATCCCATGTAGAGTTTGGCTATGATATTTAATATAATGAAAGATTATAGCTGGTAATAACATTATAACACTTTCATGAAGACTGCACAATATAAATTATTTGTTCTACCATATTTAACTTAAATTAACAACATTTCACTTTAAAAACAATTCACAACTTAAATAAGAATAATGTTATATCAAAGAAATTTTCTCAATTTATTGTCTTTATGATAATGTTTTATTGAATTTGAATTCATTATGGAAAATAGAGCATACAAGTTCTTGGGGTTGTTTTTTTTAAAGAAACAACCAGCTCTTGAAAATTTGACATGACATTTGTAATGTCTTGTATGAATAAGATAGTACTATGTAACAATCAATGTTAGCTTCCTGCTTGAAGATAAAGGAAGTGAAAATATTGCTCATATTAATAATACAATCAAATATATTATGAGAGAGTAAATAAAGACTTGAAGTTTACCGCAGCTTTAAGATGATATTTGGAACGTTGTCTGCATGGACATAAGTAACTCAATATTTGGTATGACAAACTTGACACATCTTTCTCACCAAGGCCTTCCATTGATCTTTATTTCATGCATTAAGATCAGTCCTCATTAAGTATACATCATTTATACTGTACTCCTCTTGCATGATGATTTTAAATCATTACATTCAAATTTTCACTTCATCAAAATGTATAAGCAATGTTCTACACATATACAGACTATAGCTACTTCACCCATGTAAACTATGAATGACCTTTTGTAAATTGTTTTATTTTCAACCACAAAATTAACATATTTTCTAAATCAAATTCCATAGTTTTCTACACAAAGTGTAGCTCCATATTTTTTCTTCATCTCCATTCTGAAAACTATCAACATAATAACATTAACCTAAAAAATCCACTTCTCATTGTTCACTTGTTACAAAATATTTCCATCAAATGTTTTCCATTTAGAATTTAGAACATAGTTATATGTAAACTTTCTACATGCACTTATATACCAATCAGTATCTGATGATCAATATCACTAACTGCATTACATGTCAAATATCATCATAAACAAATCCCATTTAGTTTCTTAATAGTTAATTTTCCAAACTAATGTCAACCACTTTACAGGTAAAATATCATGACACATTTTATCACCTATTGTTTTGGTAATCAAAACAGTGTATAATATACCTTACTAAAATACCACATTAGCTTAATCAACCTAGCTGGTTTTACTAGTGTAACATGATATTCTTAATGTAATCTCTGTAATCAAAGGTCATAGACAAGAGCGTCATAATGGCCCCAGATAGCTCACCCCAGATTTAATATGATCTAATGCTGGAAAAGGTCAACTGTAGTAGATATAAATTTGGTCACACTAGAGCATTGCATTTGTGATCCAAGCAGCATGATTTCACTAAGAAATGCAAAATGTCAAATACCTCAGCTATTAGTCACTGTAGTATCTGAGAAGAAGGAATAAGTGACTAGATTTTGGCCATTTTTATCCTAGGACATGGCTACTTTTGACCTTTGAGGGATGATTCAAATAACTTTTTTTCTTACAGGACTACAAGTTCATGCTACATGCTAAATATCTAAAATCTTTGCATGATGATTTTGGTTGGACAAACATACCCCCAGGGTAGAGCCTTTTTTTTACCCCGTTAACATGATTTATATCACTTTTGCTATATGCCATAATTCTATGCTCTGGGAAGTGTGAAATGTAGAAGACTTCTTGATTTATGTTCCTACCTGTCCAAACATAAAAGACATATGTCAATAGTTAGATTACACCTTTAAAGATCCTGTAACACATTTAACACTTTAATGAAGACTGCACAATATAAATTATTTGTTCTACCATATTTAACTTAAATTAACAACACTTCAGTTTTAAAAAAAAATCACAACTTAAATAAGAATAATGTTATATCAAAGAAATTTTCTCAATTTATTGTCTTTATGATAATGTTTTATTGAATTTGAATTCATCGTTGTTTTTTTTTTAAAGAAACAAGCAGCTCTTGAAAATTTGACATGTAATGAAAAATTCTGTATCTTGTACGAATAAGATAGTACCATGTAACAACAAACAATCATGTTAGCTTCCTGCTTGAAGATAAAGGAAGTGAAAATATTGCTCATATTAATAATACAATCAAATATATTATGAGAGAGTAAATAAAGACTTGAAGTTTACCGCAGCTTTAAGATGATATTTGGAACGTTGTCTGCATGGACATAAGTAACTCAATATTTGGTATGACAAACTTGACACATCTTTCTCACCAAGGCCTTCCATTGATCTTTATTTCATGCATTAAGATCAGTCCTCATTAAGTATACATCATTTATACTGTACTCCTCTTGCATGATGTTCAAATTTTCACTTCATCAAAATGTATAAGCAATGTTCTACACATATACAGACTATAGCTACTACACCCATGTAAACTATGAATGACCTTTTGTAAATTGTTTTATTTTCAACCACAAAATTAACATATTTTCTAAAGTCAAATTCCATAGTTTTCTACACAAAGTGTAGCTCCATATTTTTTCTTCATCTCCATTCTGAAAACTATCAACATAATAACATTAACTTCTAAAAAATCCACTTCTCATTGTTCACTAGTTACAAAATATTTCCATCAAATATTTAGAACATAGTTATATGTAAACTTTCTACATGCACTTATATACCAATCAGTATCTGATGATCAATATCACTAACTGCATTACATGTCAAATATCATCATAAACAAATCCCATTTAGTTTCTTAATAGTTAATTTTCCAACTAATGTCAACCACTTTACAGGTAAAATATCATGACACATTTTATCACCTATTGTTTTTGGTAATCAAAAACAGTGTATAATATACCTTACTAAAATACCACATTAACTTAATCAACCTAGCTGGTTTTACTAGTGTAACATGATATTCTTAATGTAATCTCTGTAATCAAAGGTCATAGACAAGAGCGTCATAATGGCCCCAGATAGCTCACCCCAGATTTAATATGATCTATTGCTGGAAAAGGTCAACTGTAGTAGATATAAATTTGGTCACACTAGAGCATTGCATTTGTGATCCAAGCAGCATGATTTCACTAAGAAATGCAAAATGTCAAATACCTCAGCTATAGTCACTGTAGTATCTGAGAAGAAGGAATAAGTGACCTAGATTTTGGCCATTTTTATCCTAGGGACATGGCTACTTTTGACCTTGAGGGATGATTTAAATAACTTTTTTCTTATAGGACTACAAGTTCATGCTACATGCCAAATATCTAAAATCTTTGCATGATGATTTTGGTGGACAAACATACCCCCAGGGTAGAGCCTTTTTTTTACCCCGTTAACATGATTTATATCACTTTTGCTATATGCCATAATTCTATGCTCTGGGAAGTGTGAAATGTAGAAGACTTCTTGATTTATGTTCCTACCAAACATAAAAGACATCTGTCAATAATTAGATTACACCTTTAAAGATCCTGTAACACATTTTTTAATGGTTTTATATCATTAATATTATACTCAAATTAAGATTTATCAATTTTGTAAGTTCCAAAAAGCATTATTTATAAAGATATTATCGAATTTAACATTTCATGTAAATAAAGAGAGGCAATAAAAAATTTATTTTCTTGGTCAAATTTTTCAATAAGAAATGAATGCATATATTTTAATGATAACATATAATAATAAATTTATGTACAAATATTTGCGGTACATTTTTTACATACTCTTCGATGTTTGAAAATTGTTTTATAAGCATAATTATATACATATATATAATTTCACTTATGTGTGGTATACAACCTCAATTACAACATACAGGATCTTTAAAAGAAATAAAATATATTCTAATGGTCTATAAATAGACATGTGTTCCAAGAAGAACAGATCCCAAAAAGGTACTGTTGATGAATGATAGTAATAGCATGGTGGCACAGTTACCCTATCAGAAGGATGTGGAACTCAGTTTAAAATGAAACATTAATTTCTCCCTTCCAGTGGAAACAACTCGATTTTATTACTCACTTTTTAAAGTATACTTTAGGAGACTAAGTAAAGAGACTGGCAATGTACTGTAGTCTTAGATAGTGTAACAAAAGACCGTTGCTTTTATAAATATCTTATTTAGAAAAATATCAACCTATTATAGCATTCACATACAATTGTATAAATTGGACCTAAAGATTTGCATATATACAGCAAGCTAAAATTGATAAAAGGCAAAAC